AAGGCAGATACCTGGGAAAGCATTCTCTGTAGTAACTCAGAGCCCTGCCCATCTGCTAGTGCCGTGATAACGTTTCCTTACATGCACTCGCCAGGAATAAGATGGAAGGTTTTGGTGGGAAAAGTAAAGTCACACGATGTATCTTCTGATCCCCGCCAGTGAGCCGGAGGCAGGAGCTGTAGCTCTGGCTGGTTGGATCAGTACCGAGCCACATGAGCAGGAGTGAAGAAGCTTCAGTGCATGTGCCATTGCAGCGTTGCCCCGCCTCCAAGCTAACGCTACCCTCAGTAGCGTCAGTGGCAATGCCTTGGGGTAGAGATCCCCTAGAATTCCTAGCTCTGTACTAAGCAGTGGTGCATTGTGGGTGATCCTGTAACATTCTCATGCTACGACATTCACTTTGCCCAGGTGCCAGTGACCCTGCAAGGTGTGCATGAAGCAAGGAACTAGGGATGTTAGTGAGGGGATGGAAGGGAGCATGGGGGATCTAGGGTGACCAGATGAGAGACGTGAAATATCGGGACGAGGGGGTTCCGGCGGAGCCAAAAAAAAAAACCCCAGAGATGGCGGCGGAGGAAAAAACAAAAGACAAAAAAAAAAAAAAAAAAAATACAAGAGCCGCTGGAGCATAGGAAAAATTTGTGGGGGCTGCGCACCCACCGGCAGCTCCCCACCCCGCCCCCCCTGCACCAGCTCGCCTCAGCTCTGCCTCCTGCTGCGTCCTGCTTCTCCCCCCTCCCTCCAGCACTTGTGCCGCCATACAGCTGATTAGTGCAAGTCTGGGAGGGAGAGGGGAGGAGGAGGAATGCGGCGTGCTTGGGGAAGAGGCGGGGCCAGGGCGGGGATTTGGGGAGGGATCCAATGGGGCAGTGAGGGGGCGGGGCTGGGAGTGGGGCAAGGGTGGGAATTTGGGGAGGGATCTAATGAGGGAGGGTACGGAGTCAGGGTGGGGCCGGGGCGGAGTTGGGGCGGGGGGGGCGCGAGCCCCCTCCACCTGTGCGTTGGAGGGCAAAATATAGGGACACTTTGTGTCCCGACCGAACGAACATTGGTCGGGACACAGGACAAACAAGTAAATATGGGGACAGTCCTGATAAAATCGGGACGTCTGGTCACCCTAGGGGGATCTGATACTGTGAGAGAAGTGTCTGTTCACTGCTATATCCCTTCACCCTTGGAGAACATGGGAGTTTCTCTTCTTTGTAGGGGGTCTTTGCTGTGAGGCAGCCCTGACCCTTAACCTCTGGGTCCCTTTTGTGTCTTCAAGCGCCCGTACCTCCAGTGACCAATTTCCGGGTCATAGAAGAAGGACTCTCCAGCCTCAAGGTAGCCTGGACTCCTCCCCTGGGGAAGCTTGAAGGCTACAAGATCTACATGCCCAGATGTAAGTTGTGATCTGCTAGGTTTTCACACCAGCGTCAGGTATTTTCATGGAAGTCCTGATGCTTGGGAAAAGCAACGTCCCCACTTCCGGAGCTCTGTCCTCTAAGGCCCAGCCCTGGTATCACAATGCAGTGGGGATCCCATGGCATCGCTGATGTGTCTGTGTCACCCTGGGGCGACGTGGCGTTGGCCTCCCCAGGTGAGTTTGGAGCCTCTTGTAGAAAGCAAGGTAGTCCCACCAAGGCAGGGGCTTTCCTTTGCAAACCCAGACGGTATAATTCTGGGGCTGCCCCGCGTCTAATTCTCTGACGCTGACAGTAGACTGGCAAATATGCCGTGCTCCTCTGTTCACAGGTGTCACTCACCAGGGTGTCCTATTTGGTTCTGGCCCCTACAGCAAACAGACCCGGGATGACCTATGAGCAGATTCTGGGCGGCGACGTCACCTCTCACGTGCTTGGCAACTTGCAGGAGGATAACGAATATACTGTCAGTATCTATGCTGTGTACCGCCAGGGCCCGAGCCAACCGGTGTCCACTACGGGGAGAACATGTAAGAGGTTTGATTTCTGAGGTGGCATTCTTAACTGCACTGGAAATCGGGCTCACGCCTGCTCTCCTTTGCACGCTTGCTCCTGCTCTGACGCTTGCCCCTGTGCACATGTATACTTTTCTTTGCACGCTTGCTGTCACGCCTGTCCCCGTGCACATGTATGCATTTCTTTGCACGCTTATGCTGCTGTCATGCCTGTCTCTGTGCACACGTATGGTCTTTGCATGCTCGCTTCTGCTCTCACGCTTGCCCCTCTGCTTAGGCGTGCTCACACGTGCTCATACACACTCTACGCCTATTCTTGTGCTCTCTGGCACACTCAGACCTGCTCTTCCATCCATCCCAGTGCCCCTGCATGCTCCCCCCTGCTCCCACCCCCCATTCTTGCTCACATTCCCCGACACGCTCACGCTGGGAGATTGCTCTCAACCGTTCAGCCTCCGCTCCAGCCCATTCCATTTAATAAAGGCTCAGTCAGACTCTCCTCTCACTGTCTGAAGTCAATGGAAGCGGCAGGTGTTTGACATTTTTGACGTCCAGCACTGGTTTAGTTGCCTTAATATGGACTTAGGAGCCTAACTTTAGGAACTGGTTTTTTAAAACTCTAGGCCATCGGGGTTACTTGAAGCATCACCTCCACTCCTCAGCAGTGACCTGTTCTTGATGTTTCAGGGAAAGCCCCACCCCCTTCACTCCTTATAACTCCAAGCCCATCCTCAGAGCTAGGTGGGAAATGGTTTTCCCAGCCTGGAACATGTTTTGAGTTTTCTAAAACGTTTCCTGTCCCGAATCACTACATAAGGGGCTCGGCATGTCTGGTCTGAGGCCAGGGTCTAGAAGAGGGAAGCTAACCCCGCTACAGCCTGTGCTGTGGAGAAAGAGGACTGCTCTGCTGACAACGTTCACTGTAGCTAGTTGCTGTCTGGGCTGCATGGCCCCGCCCTTCATCTGAGGGGGCAGGGCTATTATTCATTTAGGCTCCACCCACCCACCCAGACTTGACATTTCACGAGCACTCGATTACATTGTTCCGGATCTTCCATTTCATGGAAGTCGTTGGGATTTATGCAGAGATTTACCCCCGCTGAGAGTCTGGCCTAGTGTTTAAAACAAGCAGCCTTCCCCTCTGCCCCCTCCCTTCGTTTATCCACTCACCCTGTGTGCCTTGCTCTCTCTTTAAGCCCGGGCCTGCTCCCTGCCTGCAGATCTGTTGGCATCCCAGCACTCGGTGTAAATCAAACCAGATTGGTGCATCAGCGGCGCGGGCTAGAAAAAGCGACCGTGACAACTTGAGCAGCTGGCGTCACTGCAGCTTGGGCTCCGAGTGGCTGTTCCTGATGAGTGGACTACAGCCTTTTCCTAGATGCATTAAAACCGACAGGCAATGAGGGAACGCTTCGAAATCCCTCTCCCCGCTGGCTAATGTAGGCGGGAGGCAGCCCACGGTTCCTTCAGAGCCATCGGTTGCATGGGCTGTAATGTAGCTTCTCTGAAATGTCTCTTCCCTTTAACCCTTCCAGTGAAGCTCCTGCCAGTGAAAAGCATCTTGCTCCAGAATGAGACGACTGACACCATCCAGGCCAGGTGGACCTCAGTTAGGGGAGCATCAGGATACAGGCTCACCTGGGTGTCGGCAGGTACAGTCTCCAGGAACCAGAGGAGCGTGTTATTTTCATGATGCTCTGTTAGCAGCCTGCATCATTATTGGATCTGCTTTTGCTCTTGTCATCACCCCTGGGTGCAGGTTCCCACCCAAGCTTCCCACAATACAGCTTGAGATTAGAGACAGACCTGGTCAAAATCCTGACCCTAAACACCTGGGATCTGAATCCAGATCTGAGTTTTGCACGGGGGTCTTTTCTCTGACCCTTGATTCAAACACCCTTTATGCTGTTCTTAGGGGGAGAAGTGTTAGAAATCCAGATTTTCTTATTTTATTTTTGTCCCGCAGGAAGGATGGTTTGGTGGTTAAAACAAAAAACAGGGAGTCAGGACACTTGCGTTCTCTTCCTGCCCTGTGACTGACTTCCCGGGTTGTCCTAGGGCAAGTAACTTCTCCTCCGGGTGCCTCAACTTCCCTAGTTGTAAAATAGGGATAACACCACCATAAGGGGTGATTTAGTTGGGGATTGGCCCTGCTTTGAGCAGGGGGTTGGACTAGATGACCTCCTGAGGTCCCTTCCAACCCTCATATTCTATGATTCATTCAATGGTATCTCTGAAGCACTTTGAGATACCCAGGTAGGAAGGTGCTTTAGGGCAGTGGTTCTCAACCAAGGGTCCGGGGCCTCTTGGGGGGCCACGAGCAGGTTTCAGGGGAGCTGCCAAGCAGGGCTGGCATTAGCCTCGCTGGGGCCCAGGGCAGAAAGCCGAAGCCCCATTGCATGGGGCTGAAGCCCGGGGCCCTGAGCCCTGCCAGCTGGGGCTGAAGCCGAAGCTGGAGCAACTTAGTTTTGCGGGGGCCCCTGTCACATGGAGCCCCAGGCAATTGCCCTGCTTGCTACCCCCTAACACCAGCCCTGGCTTTTATATGCAGAAAACCAGTTATTGTGGCACAGGTGGGGTGTGGAGCTTTTATAGCATGTTGGGGGGCCTCCGAAAGAAAAAGGTTGAGACCCCCTGTTCTAGGGGAGGGTAACGTAGCACCATTCCTGCTACTGTGTAATAAACTAGTAATGAATGGATTTCCAAAGTGCGAATAAACACCCCAAATTGCAGAGATTTAGCCAGTCCTCTCGTTTGGGTTTGGATCATTTGGCTGGAAATCAGGAGAGCAGGTACTTGTGGGTCAGGGATGGTCTTTTTTGTTCTGCGTTTGTACAGTGCCAAGCACTGTGGGGCCCAGACCCATGGCTGGGAATACAAATAATAATCATTTCTTTTCCTTCTGGACTTGTTCCTTAAGAACAGGCTCTTGCGTGGTACCTCAACCCCCCCAGAAATGCAGCAAAAGGTGTGTGGGTCTGTGTCTCTGTGTGTATTCCTGAGTTTCTTTAAATCTCAGGACTCCTGGGTCCTATTCCTGCTGATGCACTATGCGACCGTAGGCAAGTTATTTTACCTCTCAGTGCCTCCTTTTCCCCATTCGACAACTGGGGAGAAGGCTAGATGAACTGGCCAGTGTATATGTGTCACTACTGCCCTCTTCTGGACAGAGTCAGAAACGTTCTACTGTGTGTCATAGGCGCTGCATCGCGTTCCTAGCTAGAGGGCAATTTGTGTGTGTGTGTGTGTGCGTCCATCGTATCCACTGTCCGTAATCAAATCCAACCCCCGCAAATTTTCCTGACACACAACTTTGTGGCGGACCCCCAGAAGGGAACGGGAGCATTGGGCGTTGTCGTCGTAACTCATACACATTCGCCCCTTTGGGGATTAATACAACAGGGGTTGTTTTCCCACCCTGCTTGTAGAACGCTGGTGTGAGGGATAATTCTACACTGCAATGTTCATCCCAGGGAACGTGTTTCCCTGGACCGGGCTGATTGTTCTTTCCCATTTTCCAAGACAGAGAATAGATTAAAATAGTTGCTCATGTGGAGGGTGTGTTGGTGGAGCAAGGATATCACTGGCACAGACAGGAAAATGAGGAGATGGCACCCCCTAGTGGCTGAACTAAGAATAGCATCCGTTGGCTTTAGGCATGCAAGAAGAATGAATGCCACAGTAACTTTTAAGAGTCATGGACATGTGAGATTTGCCTGTCTCCTTCCAGCTAAGACAGGATTGTCCCCTGCAGATCAAATAGCTTTTTAGGCTGAGCATGCTTTGCGTTTTGTGATATTCCCTGGAGGAGAGGAGCTGACCCTTTCCCATCCTTCCCAGAGCTCCACAGATATTCCCAGCCCTGCTCTGTCCCCCCAACCTCAACTTCCTGCCTTGGGGTAGCCATCCGTCCAGCCAAGTGAGATGGCAGAGGACTTCCTTGAGAGCCCGTGAACAGCACTGCCCCCAGCTGGGCCCCTTTTGAAGCAGACAGGCTTCCCCCCTTCTTCCAACAGGAGTGAAGCATGTTACCTGCCCAATCACATGCAGCTGTCTGTACTTTGCTGGTTTGGTTCATTCTCCTTGTGCCATTGGGGCACCCTAATGACTGACTGGCCCCCAGGAAGTTTGGGGGGGATCAAAGCTGCCATATGTCATTGTTGTTATTTATGTTTACAGTAGAGCCTCTAAGCCCCCGGCGAGATCAGGGCCCCATTGTGACAAGTCCTGGACAGTCAGCCCTGCCCTGAAGAGCTGACAATCTACATGCATGAGACAGAGAAAAGAAATATGATCATCTCCATGTTATAGTTGGGGAAACTGAGGCACAGAGCAACTGGCCTGCCCAGCCAGTGTAGAGCTGGGGGGAGAAATCTGCAGCCCACCCCAATCCTAAGGGGCAGGACCCAGGGAGGCTGTAGCAGGGGCCGGAATTGAACCTAGAACCTGAGTCCCCATCTAGGGCCTTCACCACAAGACCAGCGTTCCTCTTCTTTCTTTCCTACCTGAGCTGAACACGTGTTAGGGTGACCACCGATGGGTCTGACTGTTGGTCGGTGTGAGGCATTTAATTGGTGGTGTCCTGCATGCTGTATTCTGGGGGGTGTGGGAAAGGAAGGGGGGAACCAGTCACAGGTGAGTGTCCCTCGAGAGCTAGACCTGGGCGTATCCAGCTGTTGTCTCCTCTCCGGTGCAGAGGGCAGTGTTGAGACCGTGAACCTGGACGACGCTTGTACTGACTACATGATCCCGGGGCTGCAGCCTGGGCTGGAATACACCGTCACCGTCAACCCCATCTTTGGGGACATGGAGGGGCCGGTGGTGAGCAGCAAGGCAACCACTCGTAAGTGTCCTGGGGTGGGCCAGCGGGAGGGGAAAGGCCTGGGAGGGCAAGTGGATGCGATTGTTCAGTTCAGGTAGGCGAGACCTCAGGCATAGAAAGAAGAGGGACTGGGGGTAGGGGGGCAGCGAAGGAGGGAGTCAAAGGGGCTGAACGGGCGGCTGGGGACATGGGGGTGGGAGAAGATGAGTAGCGCTGCTGCCCAGGAAGATAGTCGAAGGACACGTAAGGGGAAGGAAGCCTACGGGGTCACAGGATTCCCTCTGGGGATGCCTGGCCTCGTTTCCAGAGCAGGGGATGGGGAGCCAGGAAATGTGGGGTCTAGCTCTGCCGCTGACTTGCTGATGAACAGGGGGCAAGTCATTTTGCCTTTCCGTGCCTCAGTTTCCCTATCAGGAATACTGGGGGTGATGTTAGTTATCCTCCTTTATGGAGTGCTGTGGTGGTGCTCAGGTGCCACGGTGATGGGCGGCAGTGTAAACTTCTAAAATAGATGATCAGCCAGGCTTATCCCTGTGTTGCCTGTACCCAGGTTGGCTCCCAGGTCTTCCGGTCACACACACCCACCTCCTAGCCAATATCACCCGTGGCTGACAACCTCCCTCTGGTCTCTTATGCATAGAGCAGCCTGGTGCATTGTGGTTTTTCTTAGGTCCCTTAGGACCTGATCCAAGTCCCCCTGAATTCAGTGGGAGTCTTTCCACTGCTATTGCATCCGTCAGACCCATAACCCGTTCCGCTTACTCACGCTGCTTGGCTCTCTTTCTTAAAGTGGCATCGAGCGCTGTGCAGACCCTGAAAGTGTCCGACGTAACAATCAACTCTGCCCTGCTCTCCTGGAATTCAGTGGCTGGGGCCACTGGGTACAGAGTGGCTTGGGGCCCTACTCCGGGTAAGCTAGCGTTTATCGAGCCCGTAGCGCGGACAGGCCCCCTCCACCCAGCATTTAATGCAGCGCCAAAGCTGGAACAGCGAGCTCATAAAATCAGGGAATGGCAGATGTCGAGGCAGCTCCGGCACTGGTCACTTGCCCACGTTGCACAACCTTAGGGTTGCTAACTTTCGAATGGCACAAAACCAAACACCCTAGCCCCGCCCCTTCCCCAAGCCCCCCCTTCCCCAAGGGCCCCCCCCCACCCACTCACTACTTTCCCCCTCCCTTGGTGGCTCGCTCTCTCCCACCCTCACCCACTTTCACTCGGCTGGGGCAGGGGCTTGGGGTGTGTGAGAGGGTAAGGGCTCCACCTGGGGGGTGCGGGCTCTGGTGTGGGGCTGGGGCTGAGGTATTCAGAGTGCGGGAGGGGGCTGCGGGTTGAGGCAGGGGGTTGGAGTACAGGAAGGGGTGTGGGCTCTGGGGTGGGGCTGGGGATGAGGGGTCCAGAGTGTGGGAGGGGGCTCTGGAGTGAGGGCTCTGGGCTGGGGCTTGGGATGAGGGCTTTGGGGTGCAGGAGGGGGCTCCAGGTTGGGGGGGGGGTCTCAAGGCTGGGGCTCGGGGTTGGGGCACGGGCTTGCCTCGGGCGGCTCTGGGTCAGCGGTGCTAAGGCAGGCTGCCTGCCTGTCCTGACACCGCCTTGCGCATGCCCCGGAAGCGGCCAGCTGGTCGCTCTCAGGCTCTGCACGCTGCTCTCACCCGCCAATGGAAGTGCGTGGCCATTTGCTCAGGGCAGGGGCAGCGCGAGGAGCCCTGTAGCCCCCCCATGCCTAGAACCCGGACCTGCTGGCTGCTTCCGGGGGGCAGCACAGTACCAGGACAGGCAGGGGCTAGCCTGCCTTAGACGCCCAGCACCGTCGACCGGACCTTTAACGACCCGGTCGGTGGTGCCTCCCGGAGCCACCATGGTCCCTTTTCGACCAAGTGTTCCGGTCGAAAACCAGACACCTGGTCACCCTACAACCACCCACATGCATCGGGGCAGGGAGCTCGTTTCACTGCCGGTCCTTTGGGTCCAATTCTCAGTTCCATTAAGGGCCCATTTGGCTGCTCTAGCAGCAGAAAAGCTGTACCAAAGTGTTTCGATTCCCTTGCTGATGTTTTGTAAAGGTACCTTCAGCAAGAGCAAAAAAACCGAAGCGTTTGATTCTGCAAAGGCCTAACCCATTCGGTCCGGGCTTTCCTGTTGCTCCCTGGAGGCTGGATTGGTAGAAATCCAGGGCTTTGATGGGGTCTTTGAACTTCTCTGGCCTGCGTTATACAGGAGGACAGATTAGATTGTCAGAGTGACCCCTTCTGGCCTTAATATCTATGAACTTTACTCGCTGGCTCCCAGTCTTCCTCCCGCCCGCTCCACTTGCCAACATTGCTTACTCTTCAGCTTCTTTTTCTTCCCGCCAAAAGAATTCTTCCACAAAGACCGACCGCGGCAGCTGGCTCTGAACAGCTCCACCACAGCCTACCAGCTCCGAAACCTGGCCCACGACAGCGAGTATGTGATTTCCCTCTATGTGCTCTTTGGCTCGGCAGAGGGGCCTGGGATCACCACTTCAGCCAGGACGTGTGAGTATACGCATGGTGCGGAAGTGGTGCCTCTCCTTGCCCGGGGAGCTCAGGTGCCCGGTACATACCGACAATACAGAGAGCACCAAAGGGCCCTGGAGACGCAAGTTTAACCTCTTGTGATCAGAGCCTTTCATTCCAAAGCGTTATACAAACTAGCTGTACCCCTGCCTCTGGAATGCAGCCACCTCTGGGGTAGAACATGACAACTTTAACACCACAGAGCAGCAATACACCACAGTCTGGGACACAAACAGAGGAAAAATACTATAGCTAACTGAAATATAGGGACAATTGACAGTACATGCCAGTGTTGGAATTTGACTCTGAGGTAACACCCATTCTCTTGTGAAAAGAGCAATGGATTAAGTGTAAGCAGAGTCAGGATGAGCTCTACCCTGACATCTGGTGGTGAATTATGGTGAGTGTGGAAAAGAACTCCAGGGGCTGATCTTGTTTGCATAGGCACACCCACTCGCCTGGCATGAAACAACAGCAACTCAAAGTGGTTACTTCGGCTGGTGTGGGATCCCCAGTTTTCTCTGTTATTGGGGCAGGAAGAATAAAGTTTGTTACCCTGATTCTGTGAATCAAGGCCAGTGAAACTGTTGTATGACAGAAGGACTGAGTGAGTCCTTCACCATTACCTAAGTAGCACTTGCTTGACAAGGGGCATGGGTTACAAAACCCAGTGAAGAGAGAGAGGATGGGACAGGTATTTGTATCTGATGGTATGGGCCCCTCTCTGAGGGGTTGAAACACCAATTGTACTATCCCTGATCCCGCCCACCGGTTACCCACCCCTCATTGGGGACATTGCAGTCTGTATATACTATGTGTGCTGCCCAGCCCCAAAACACCAACATACCCCCATACTCTGTATGTTACCCCCAATGACCAATAACTAATGTTTCAAATTTCTGTATCGTTTATTTCTTTTAAATATTCTCCTCTCTCCACTGTTGAATATCAGAGCTAACTTTGATTCCATTAGAAGTGTAGTTACAGACTGCTGAGCTGAATTCACTTTGGGCCAATGGTGCACTAGTACCGGGGCTCCCCTACTATGAGCTGAAATTGCTAAGAGCTGAAATCACTGAGGCTGTGTTAACTAGTGGGGGAGCCTGAAGATATATTGCTAAGCAGCTGCCAGAGCAGTTCGTGGGACGGCGGGAGCAGCTTTATTGAAACGGAACCCCTAGATACAGAACCCGGCCCTTGTTGCTGCCAACTTAGATGGGCAGAAGGGTTACATAAGTATGGCCAGGACTTTTGTTTTATATTTCTTCCAAAAGGCAACACCACATCCAGCAGTACAGAGCCTCTTAATGCCCTGGCGGGGCGTTGGGCTCAGTACCTTGCCAGCTACTGAGTCACCAGTAATACTCCCTGCAGTAACCCAGACGTCCTTTGGCTGTCTCCCAGCCAGCTTCTGACCCACTTAATCCGACGACGCTTGTGTGATCAGAAGGGATGACAGAATAAGATGATCCGCACCCGTGGCTTGGCAGACTCCCGACATCAGTCAAAGGCTACGAGCCAACTCCTCAGCTGGTGTGTCTCAGGGGTGTTCCCGTGAAGGCAATGGAGTTACGCTGATTTACACCAGCTGAAGATCTGGCCCACGATTTCACAAGAAGGATATCAGCGGGACTGTATCCCTGGCTGACCTACAGCAGCGCAAAGATAAGATTGCCACCATGTCCTTTGAAAGTCACTGTTCCCTAAAAGTCACTCCCCCCGGCACTGTTAGCAGTGAGAACCCTGAGAGGTGCTGGCATTTACTGAGCACATTACTAATCAAGACATCAGCTAACGTCACTTTCCCCTGGCAGCGCCGCTTGGCTACGTGTCCAATTTCAAGGTAACTTCCTACACGAGCACATCCATCTCCCTTGCATGGAGTGCCACAGCTGCAGCCACCGGATACCGAATCTCCTGGAGCCCAGAGGGAGCGGGCAGAGGTGAGTGCAGATCGGGTGCCATGATTTGCTGTTGTCTGATGTGTGTAGAGGACGTTCAATCAAGCTGGCGATGCAGGGTGTCTGCCCCCACGGAATATTGCCTGGCCACAGGAGATTGCTTTATTCTAGTTCTCTGGGCCTGCACGGCCGATATCTGCCGAGCGAATGCTCTGAATTTCTGGTGATGGGTGTGAAAAAGCAACCTGTGCCAGGCTGTGTGTGTTACTGCCAGAAGGGTTTGAACCTTCAACCCTCAGTGCTAAAAACATGAGCAACCACCAGCTGATCTGAAGGACAGAGACCTCGAGGGTTTAGCTATAGCTCAGGGGTTCTCAAAATGAGGGTCTGGACCTCTCAGGGGGTCACGATGTTATTACAGGGGGGGGTCGCAAGCTGTCATCCTCCACCCCAAATGCCGCTTTGCCTCCAGCATTTATAATGGTGTTAAATATATTAAAAAGTGTTTTAATTTATAAGGGGGGGGGTCGCACTCAGAGGCTTGCTATGTGAAAGGGGTCACCAGTACAAAAGTTTGAGAATCACTGCTACAGCTGACTCATTAATCTCATGCATGGACCAGCCACTAGAGGGGGACAAAGATCCACGTGCGCCAAATGTAGTTTACATGAGCTCCCCCTTGTGGCCACCAGAGTAGCTGTGATTTGTGAATATGTCAGGGATTGCGGTCTTGTCTTAATTGGTTTGGGAAATCATCATCTCTTACTCTATTCGTAGAGGAATCAAGTGTTGTCCTCGAGGAATCCCATTCATTCCAGGGGGTGTTCCCCAGTGGAGATTTTGGCGGGTTTCCAGACCCTTTATGCCACTGATGACTTCTGGGCCTGGTACCAGTCCAAGGCCAAGGGGGATGTGGCTACAGAGTACGAGGGCTAGCTGTCGGGAAACCTTTCCTCATTCAGCCTCCATTTGCCTTTGTTCAGTTGAATCCCTACCCTCCTACTTCTCATCCCTGGTGCTTCTCTAAATGACTCGCTTCCCCCCACAACTTTGTGTTTACCCCCTTCCCCAGAGACCCTCGGAAATAACACTACTGGGAGGAAAAGTGGTACCCTTTGGAGAAGATCCACTGTTCTTGGTGAATTATATGCACTGTGGTGTCCTTGTCCTTTCAGGAAGAGGAGTTGCCAAGAGCCAGTACCTGGGCAGCAAGGGGCTTGCTTATCACATTGAGCATTTGCTGCCTAATACCCACTATACACTTGGTGTTCGCGCTATGTTCAACAAGTCCGAGGGACCAGAAGTGACTCTCACTCACCGTACTGGTGAGTTCTGCTGTAATGACCCTGTCTTGCATGGGACAGCATGGTTGGAACCTACCACCTTCAACAGAGACCCTTGCCACTTGAACTAAAGGAGCAGCCCTGTTAACTTGCAGCAGTAGAAGACTGTTATCCTTGAGAGGGATGCAACACACATTCTGCCAGTGTGTTATGCTATCCCTTCATAAATAGGCAGGGCTGGATTTAGGCCCTTGGGAACACTCAGTAACATTATACATGGGGACCCAAATCTTTCAGTCTCTCTCTCGTCCAGCTCAGTTCAGCAGCAGGCCCTGTTGCTCCTTGTGGGATGTGGAAAAGCCCTGCAAATTGTCCCTCCTTCCTTTATGGCAGACGTCACGTGTTTCCAAGGCTCCTTTGTGTGTGAGTGAGAATGCCCCTAGAGCGTGCAGGGCTGAGGACCTGCTGTGTTTGGAACAACTGGATTTTGAAACCCATGGGTAATATTTTTAGGCTGGTGTATAGCAAAACCTCATTATAATGTTCTTTAGCCTTTCTTCTTTTTGAACCCAATGGGGGAACTCCCTGTAGAAAAGTTGGTCTGTTGATAAGGCATTAAGTGAGATATGCCCAGAGGGTGTATACCTGCTGCTTCTGGCGAGGATCATGTGAGATCAGGGATATAGCCCTGGGCGTACCATGGGCTAGACTCTGATACTCTGACTCACGGTGAGTAGCGCCTTTCTCCAGGCATAGAACCACTGACGTCAGCAGGCTTCGTCATGGAGCGGGGTGTCATTCAGTGGCCGGAAGATATCGGAATCCGACTCCGATCTCCACATTTCATTCATTTTTGCAGCCTCGCTCGCAGACTCTACCCCCATCCAGACCGTTCGGGATTTGCGGATCGTCGACATTGGAGTAAACAGCTTGAAGGTCTCCTGGAAAAGGACCCCGGGCGTAACGCACTATAAGATATCCTGGGTCCCGTTCAGCGGTAGGCATCCTACTCCATCGGCCATATAAAGTCTAGTGAGCGAGCGCCGGGGGTCCCTGGTACGCTGGAGGTAGCTCTCAACTCACTGTTCCTGTGCCTCTTCTCACAGGTGCTCGAGGACAGACTATAAACTGGCAGAGTGGGGTCAATGCTTCTAGGAAACTTGGGGTCCACACCCAGGCTCGTAAGAGTGGGCTGAACGCCTGGCATGGGGCATCTTTTGTTCCTCTCTTGTGCTCGTGGTAACTTGGTTTGATTTCCAGGTATAACCATGGTCCCTGGAGGAAAAGCTCCTCTTGACTGCACCTGGATTTTTGGCTTCTGCTCAGTTATTCCACCAGCTCACAAGTATGTTTGTGTGTTGCTGGATGGGTGGGCGTCCTGGGCCTGGATGGGTGTTTTGAATCAGGGAAGGGGCTCCCAAAGGATCCTGCCCTTTCTCCCTTTCACTGCTGCTTGGCATAGGCTTTAGAGGATAGGATTAATATTAAAAATGATCTGGACAAACTGGAGAAATGGTCTGAAGTAAATAGGATGAAATTCAATAAGGACAAATGCGAAGTACTCCACTTAGGAAGGAACAATCAGTCGCAGACATACAAAATGGGGAATGACTGCCTAGGAAGGAGTACTGCGGAAAGGGATCTGGGGGTCATAGTGGATCACAGCTAAATATGAGTCAACAGTGTAACACGGTTGCAAAAAAACCTGAACAACCCCCCCCCCCATTCTGGGATGTATTAGCGGGAGTGTTGTAAGCAAGACAGAAGCAGTAATTCTTCTGCTCTACTCCCCACTGATTAGGCCTCAACTGGAGTATTGTGTCCAGTTCTGGGTGCCACATTTCAGAAAAGATGTAGACAAATTGGAGAAAGTCCAGAGATTAAACAATAAAAGGTCTAGAAAACATGCCCTGTCAGGGAAGATTGAAAACATTGGGTTTGTTTAGTCTGGAGAAGAGAAGACTGAGGGGGGACATGATAACAGTTTTCAAGTACCTAAAAGGTTGTTACAAGGTGGAGGGAGAAAAATTGTTCTTCTTAACCTCTGAGAATAGGACAAGAAGCAATGGGCTTAAATTGCAGCCAGGGAGGTTTAGGTTGGACATTAGAAAAAACTTTCTAACTGTCAGGGTGGCCAAGCACTGGAATAAATTGCCCAGGGAGGTTGTGGACTCTCCATCACTGGAGATTTTTAAGAGCTGGTTAGACAAACACCTGTTAGGGATGATCTAGATAATACTTAGTCCTGCCATGAGTGCAGGGGACTGGACTAGATGACCCCTCAAGGTCCCTTCCAGTCCTATGATTCTATAATCCAGGCTGCAAGCCCAGTGGATGCTCAGAAGGCTGCATGTCTGCAAAGCACAATCCCTGAAGCGTGATGGTCAGTCCTTCTGGCTGGGAGGAGCCCGCCATAGCTAGCTCCAGAGTACGTCACCCTTGCTCCCGAGACAGCCATGGCATCAGGGAGAGACATAAGGTATTTCTCCCTCTCTTTGCAATCTAGTCTTGCCAGATGGGAGGAGTGAGAGCTCCTGGCTCTGCACCCAACCTCCTCAGCTCTCCTCAGCACACCCTTCTGGTCCCAGTCCAGTCTACACAGCTCCACCCTCAGTCAACGAGTGTCCAAGCAGGCCATAGGAGTAGCTCCCTGGACCATCCCATCTCTCCTGGGCCAGTCCCCAGGACTGGCAGCCTCTCCAGGGTCTATCTCCCATTCTAAGGGTATGTCTACACTGCAGTCACGGAGCATAATTGCTGCTTGTGTAGACATGCCTGTGTTTAATCCAGATCAAGCACCAGAACAGTGAAGCCATGTCAGAGCCCATTAGCTATGCCAGGAATTTCCTAGGGTTCTTGATGGACTGATAGAGACTGCACTAAACCATGCGTTGCCACAGCTTCACTTCTCTGGTACTGGAGCTAGCTAGATTAAAGCTAGCTTGGAATGTCTATGATACACCCTTGGCGGGGCTGGCAGGTGGGAGACCTCCATTATCTGCTGCTTCAAGCTTTCTTCTGAGCTGCTGTTTTGCACAAGTTGCATTTCCTGGCATGCAGGAAGTGAGTGCAGGAGAAAAAACGTTGCAGACCCAATTCTAGATCCTTTTCGTTGCATTTTTCCAAATGACGATTGAAATGTTCTGTTTCACCAAGTACGAGCTTTACGGAATGAACGTCTGGCCTGTTCAGACCCATCTTGGGATTTATTTAAGCAATTGTTCTAAAAACGGACAAAGAAATGAACTTCTGCAAATGCCTCGTTTTTAAAAATAGAAGATGATCAATGACATTTTTGGGTTAAAATTGCCATGAAAAGTTTCAAGACACGATTTTTCATAAAAAGTTCCCAATGTAGGAAAAAGAGCCATTTTTTGCATCAAAAAAATTCCATCTTTTTTTTCCAGTGAAAGCCCAACTTTCTGATTTCTTAGGAGCCTCCCAACTCTTGACAATTTTGCGCAGCGTTGAAAATAACTCAACCTCCACATTAAACAGGAAGAGCCTTAAGGCTGGGTTATTGATGGGTTTCTCTCTTTACCAGCTAGTACACCCACATATTGGTAAGGAGGGGCAAACTAAGGAGGTATGGGAAAAGCGCAGCTGCCCCCTGTCTGCTAACAAGAGAACTCCCGCATTGCCCCTTGACTTGGACCAGCTCTGTCCTTATTCTTTGGCTGGGTGGTCCAATAGATAGAGCATTGCACTGGGAGCCGTGAGTCCAGATTCTGTTCCCAGCTGTCCCACTGATGCATTATGTGACCTTGTGCAAATCACTTAAGTTCCCTCTGCCTCAGCTTCTCCAGCTGTAAAATGAGGATAATAACACTCCTTCTCCTTTACCAAGTGTTTTGAGATCTATGGATGAAAAGGACTGTAAAGATCATGCTCGCTACAGGAAGCATTATGACTTTCTCCTGTCATTATCACAAACTCTTCTGTTTTTTTATTGTTGTTATTAATTAGGTGGCTTGGAAACCTCACAGATCGTTCCAGCAGAGATCATATTTTTCACAATTACTAAGCTGCAGGAGAGCACTACGTACACCATCCGTGTGTCTTCAATGATCCGGGAACGGGAGGGAAGCCCAGTGCTTCTGACTGCCAAAACACGTGAGTACCTAGGAGACATGGGCAGACACCACTATATAATGTCACCACTGCAACTGGGAAGTAGATCTGTTCAGGCTGACATTTCTGTGCTCATCTCAAAGTATCAAGAGTTTGGGATCAATTCGGAGAAACAACCTAAAGCGTAGGGATATTATCTAGCGCTGAATCTAAAGTATCTACAACCTAAATGGTAAGGATCATATGCTACAGATGAATCTAAAGTATCTACAACCTAAAGCGTAGGGATCATATCTACAGTAAATCAGCATAGCGCCATTGGTTTTGGTACAGCTACATCGATCTCCACGAGCTAAGAATCTGGCCCAAGATGCTTACTCGGACTTATGGAGTACCATGCTGTTGGAATCATTCCCACGCTCTGTTCCTACATACACTGCTAGTGAGGCAGGCTGAATGTCAGTATCGCAACTGGCCCGTGGGTAGGATCCTGGAGCTGATAACCAGCTGGCAGGAATTTCCCACCCACGTGTGGCCTGGCACAATTGGCCAGGTGCAGTCTGGATATTTTGGATCTTCCTCTGAAGGCCATGCCAGAGACACGATACCAAACTCAACAGGCCAGCCATCTGTTTCATTTCCGTAATGACGATCTGGAATTTTTGCCATTGATTTCAATGGGCCCAGGATTCCACCCTTGTATAGGGTGTGTGTGTGTGTGTGTGTTTCCTTCTGGCCCGGTGAAATTCAGTAGATTCTCCCTCTCGAGCTTTTTTATCTCATGCCATCGATTTAAGCGTTTACACAGCAGCAAACGATCATTGTTTCCTTTCTCTTTCTTTTTAAATAGTGGGTTTGCCCAAAGTGACTCAGTTTGCAGTTCAGGAGAGCACGGAAAGCAGCGTTTTGTTGAGCTGGACGGGTGTTCCGGGGGCATCGGCATATTTATTAACATGGCGCCTGGCATCAGGTAACGGCTCTTCGGTGTCATTGATGAATGGCTGTGGGTAAGGAGAGCTAATGTAAGGAAAGAAGAAGAGAATGTGAGGTGGGGAGAGTTGTAGAGTGTGTCTCCTTAGAAAGATCTTGGGAAGGGCCATATTGCCACAATATCACATCTTCACCATTCTTTGGTTCCCCTTGCTCGGACAGTTATTAGTTCACGACAACATAGGAATTGCCAGACCAGATCCGCCCTAAGGTCCATTTAATCCAGTGTCCTGTCTCTGACAGTGGCAAGAGTGCTCCAGAGGAAGGTGCATGGAACCCCATCATGGATTAAACCATCGACAGAGGAAGTGTCTTCCTAACACGGACAATGAGTGGCTGGATTATGCACTGAAACATCGAGATTTATATCCCTGATCTTTTTCTAATCCAATTTAATGCCACTGTGGATGTTCTCATTATCCATATAAATGCCTGATCCTTCTTTTGAATCCTGCTAAGCTCTTTCCCTCTTACCTCATTCATTTCCCTCCGAGAAATAAGAATCTTGTCTGGTAGTGAGTGCAGAGGACTGGGACTCTGGACTCTCCCCACAATGCCACTCTTCCTGTGTGACCTTGGATGAGTCATCTTTGGTCCTCAGTTTCCTAATAAATACTGGGAGTGATGGTGCCTACCCTATAAGGGTGTTGGGAGACTTAACTGGTCTAAAATTTGTACAGTGCATTGAGATCCTTGTGTGGAAGGTGCTCTGGAGATGAGAGTTTCTGAGCACCCACATCTCCCACTCCCATCAGTGCTCAAGCAGTGTTCCCTCTAGTTTTTTCCATCCATGTGCAGAATGAATGTTATGTGCACCATATTGAGGTAATGTGGGGATGTGCACCAAAACCAAAAACCTAGATACAATATATATTTTTAAAAAGTTACCATAGGGATAATTACTCCAGCCAGGACAGATTAGGCATTTTAGAACTCACTACCCAAAGAATTAAATTTGAGCATAAGAGAGAAATAAAAATTATGAAATGCACAGACCAGTCAAAAAACTGAAATAACACACTTTGAAAGAAGTATTGAGAAGTAACAACAACAATAGTACAAGTATGTGTTGGGAGGTGAGTGTGAAAGACAGAGTGTGTGAGTGAGACAGAGACACACACACTCTGTGTGTGGGGAGGAGTGAGAGAGACGAATTGCGCATCTCAGAGGGAATTTAGGTGCTCAGCACCTCTTTCAGTTTTGCCTTCTTTCATTAGTTTTCTCGAAGGCAGTGGCTTTCAATCTTTTTTCATTTGTGGACCCCTAAAAAATGTTGAAGGGAGGTGTGGACCCCTTTGGAAATCTTAGATATAGTCTGCGGATCCTCAGGGGTCTGCGGATCACAGGTTGAAAACCACTGTTCTATGGTAACAACAACCTTCTGTGGACCCCTTAGACATAGTCTGTGGACTCCCCGGGGTCCACGGACCACAGTTGAAAACTAGCGCTCTAAGGACTCTACTAGGTTTGAAAGGCATGATTTCCCTTTACAGAAGAGTCACTGTGGTCTGATCCTAGCAAGTTGTCATCCAAATGCTGCAATATTCTGGCCTTAGACTTCCATCTATTTCCCCACCCCTGGGAAGAGTAATCAAAATAAACCCATAAGATGGACTGTGTTACCAATCTGAAACTGATTCCACTGTGTCTCTCCTCCTGCATGTGCATTACAGTAAAGGAGGGGAAACTTAGAGAGGACATTACCTGCATTGAAGATCAGCAATGCTGCACTCCATATTTAACCAGCAAATCTTTCTTCTAACTCTACTGCCTAGGTCAAGGATTCATAGAGTTTGAGGCCAGAAGGAACTATTGTGATAATCTAGTCTGACCTCCTGCATAACATGGGTCATAGAATTTCACCCAGTAGTTCCTGAAGATAAGGGAACTATTCATCCCTCCTTGCACTGATCTGCTTCAAATCCACCTCCAAGCTCTATACACAGCTATCTGTGACGCAGCCACTCTATACTCCAAGAATATGGAAATTACAGGATTTGAAAAGACTGTGTCGGCCTCCCCATTAATAAAACAAGGCAGTTGTTAAGGAAGTTCAACTTCAGCCTTTGCCCGTGAGGCATCATGTTCCAATTAGAGATGGGCCTGAACACACCCTCTCCCCTTCCAGACCTGAATAACCCCAAACTTGAGATCCATACATTAAGGATCATTGGGATTCTCGAATCTGACCTCCATTGGTTTTCCTGAATTAATCCTTGCTTCAAGTCCAGTAGCTGAGTTTCAACTAGAGCAGATCTTTGAGGGACCCCCCCCCCCCATTCCAATCATGATTAAACAATTTCCTGTGATGGAGAACACACCCAGCCCTTGGTAAATTGTTCCAACAGTGCCCTCACTGTTAGAAAAAATGCTCCTTATTTCCAGTCCCTGGATCTTGTTTCGCCTCCATGATAATGCGATTCTTTTCCCTGCATGTTATAGATAGGTGCTTATGGAGCTTGACATCCTGTTCTCTAGACACCAACAAGTATCCCGTCTTACTTTTTATCTGTTAGGACAGTGATCCATGAGCATTGAAGATCATTTGCTTCCAAGTTTTCTGTGTCTCAGAAACAGATAATGCCATTTTTGATAGCATGCTACTCCTCTTCCCTTTTTGCCCTCTCGAGCCTTCTAAAATAGATTATAACCGTTGTAACGGGAAAGATAATGGAACAAATAATTAAGCAATCAATTTGCAAACATGTGGAAGATAATATGGTGATAAGTAACAGTCAGCATAGATTTGTCAAGAATAAATTGTGTCAAACCAACCCGATAGCTTTCTTTGACAGGGTAACAAGCCTTGTGGACAGGGGGGAAGTGGTAGACGTGGTACATCTTGACTTTAGTAAACTTTTGATACTGTCTTGCATGACCTTCTCTTAAAAAAAAATAGGGAAATGCATCCTAGGTGGAGCTACTATAAGATGGGTGCAAAACTGGTTGGAAAGCCATTCCCAGAGAGTAGTTATCAGTGGTTCACAGTTAAGCTGGAAGGGCATATCAAGTGGGGTCCCGGAGAGTCCGGTTCTGTTCAATATATTCATCAATGATTTAGATAATAGCATACAGAGTACACTTATAAAGTTTGCGGATGATATCAAGCTGGGAGGCATTTCAAGTGCTTTGGAGGATAGGATTAAAATTCAGAATGATCTGGACAAACTGGAGAAATAGTCTGAAATAAATAGGATGAAATTCAATGAGGACAAATGCAAAGTCCTCCACTTAGGAAGGAACAATCAGTTGCACACATACAAAAGGGGAAATGACTGCCTAGGAAAGAGTCCTGTGGAAAGGGATCTGGGGGTCAGAGTGGATCACAAGCTAAATATGAGTCAACAGTGTAACACTGTTGCAAAAAAAGGGAACATCATTCTAGGATGTATTAGCAGGAGTGTTGTAAGCAAGACACAAGAAGTGATTCTTCCACTCTACTTCACGCTGATTAGGCCTCAACTGGAGTATTGTGTCCAGTTCTGGGAAGCATGTGGAAGAGAGAAGACTGAGGGGGGACATTATAACGGTTTTCGAGTACATAAAATGTTGTTACAAGGAGTAGGGAGAACCTTCCTAACTGTCAGGGTGGTTAAGCACTGGAATAAATTGCCTAGGGAGATTGTGGAATCTCCATCACTGAAGATTTTTAAGAGCAGGTTAGACAAACACCTGTTAGGGTTGATCTAGATAATACTTAGTCCTCCCATGAGTGCAGGGGACTGGACTAGATGACCTCTCGAGGTCCCTTCCAGTTCTATGATGGTTCTATGATTTTAACATTCCAATCATATGAATCTTCCCACTTCTTTCAGTGATACCAACTAGGTCAAATTTTTGCTCATAAATGAGCCAATCAAATTCCTCTTGCTTATTACCCAGGCTCCTAGCATTAGTGAATAAGCAATTAAATAATGTCTTCTCTTCACATCATTTGGTGCCACAATTCATTTTGTTCTTGACATCTTGATTTTGCGCTAAATTAATGCTCATTTGTTCCCCCTTTTCACCCTCTCCCTTTGTTGTCAATTTAATGTTTTCCTGACTTAATCTAGCCAGTCTGTCCCCTAGAAGATTGGTTCTCCTTCTACTGTGATGGAGGCCATCCAAACTACATAGCCCTTTCTCTCCATAAAAGGTGGTCCAATGTTCCACAAAACCAAAACCTTCTATGTTACACCATGTACCTAGCCAGTGGTTCTCTTCCAGAATGTTCTGTCTTATGACTTCACGGGACAGGAAGGATCCCCAAGATGATCACTCGGACATTTCTCTCCTTCAGTTCCCTTCTGAATTTTCTGGAATCGTTAATAATCTGGGAGGTATCACACGAAGTGGTGTCGTTAGTGTTGATGTGCACCATGCCCACCTATTTCAGAAGCCTATTCAGTCTTTCAGTCACATCTCTTGTCTTGGTCCTGGGAAGATAGAGCTCCACCCTGCTCTGCTCCTGCGCCTTGCAAGATTGTGCTTTCCTTCCATTCTTCTTAGCATAGAATCCCTGGCAAGGATCCTCTGTCTTCTTTGGATGGTTGGAGATCTCTTTGGCACGTTTCTTAGTACTGTAGGCTGGGCTGAGCAGACACCCTCAGATATGTCCTATACACCTCTCCATTCCATTCGGCCAGCTGGAGCTTCAGAGACCTTGTCTGCAGTTTCCATGCAGAGAACCTAATAATGATTGGATACTTCTGGCAGTGTGGGATTCCCCCTGGTGCTCTTCTCTCTGGTGATCACAGTCTGTGTATCCTTATCTGCCTCCAGGGGTGTAGAATGCCACTTGGTCATTTTACCTCTGGTGGTTATAATCCTCCTCTCTGGTTTCCACTGTCTTTGGTTTGTTGGTCGGCAGTTCCTTTCTTTCTTGAGTCTGGTGTGCTGATGCTTTCTGAACCTGGTTATCCAAGTACTCCTTAGCCTCTCCCACACTTCACAGTGTCAGTACTCCTCCTTCCAAACCACTAAGCTTTTCTTCCAGCACGGCCACCAACTTGCACTTTGTACAAAGGAAGTTTCTTCAGGCTGGAAAGAAAAATAGCACATCCGTTGCAGGTCACAGACATGGTTCCATCTCTGGCCATGATGGTATTGAACATAGAACTGTACCTTGAACTAACACTTCTGACACGCACTTTCCTAACTGCCTCTAAAACTCCCCTGTTTGCCAAACTTTGTGGCTATAATTACAATGTAGGGTGCTCCACACAGGGTCTGTCTGTGGTTATGATGAGTTTCTTTGTCTCTATATTAACATCAATAAATTTAGGCTTGAAATTAGACCAAGGTTTCCAGGGCCGGCTTTAGGAACTGGGGGGGCCCGATTCGGTGGTGGTCCTGGTCTTCGGCGGCACTTTGGCAGCGGGTCCTACTTGCTTTGGGTCGTCCGCGGCACTGAAGGACCCGCCACCTAAATGCCGTCAAAGACCCAGAGCGAGTGAAGGACCCGCCGCCAAAATGCCGCTGAAGAACCGGACCGCCGCCGGGTGAGTAAAAATTAAAAAGTTAGGCGTTCTTCCTTAGGGCGTGGGGCCCTCTTAGGCGCGGGGCCCGATTCGGGGGAATTGGCCTAAAGCCAGCCCTGAAGGTTTCTAACCATCAGAGGAGTGAAGTTCTGGAACAGTCCTTCATGGGGAGCAGTAGGGACAAAAAACCTAACTTGTTTTAAGACTGAGCTTGGTAAATTTATGGTGGGGATGGTGTGATGAGATTGCATAAAATGGCATGTTGCCCATCTGTGACTGCTATTAGCAAATATCTCCAATGGCTGGAGATGGGACACTAGATGGGGAGGGCTCTGAGATACTACAGAGAATTCTTACCCAGGTGTCTGGTTGGTGAGTCTTGCTCACATGTTCAGGGTCTAACTGACTGCCACATTGGGGTCAGGAAAGACTTTCTCCCCACCCCCGGTCAGATTGACAGAGACTCTGGGTGGTTTCTCCTTACACTGCAGCGTGGGGCATGGATCACTTGCTGGTTTGAACTAGAGCAAATGCTGGATTCTCTGTAATGTTAAGTCAGTAAATCACAAATGAGGACTTCAGTAAGTCAGTCAGAGTTTATGGGCCTACTACAGGAGTGAGTTCTGTGGCCTGTGATGTGCAGGAGGTCAGACTAGATGATCATGATGGTCCCTTCTGCCCTTAAAGTCTACGAGTGACGTACCCTCTTTCCTTTCTTTTTTCCAGAGTCTGACCTTTCCACTGAACTGTTGGGAGCAGCTTCTAGATCGTATCGAGTTACAGACCTGAAGCCAAGAGGGATGTACTCATTTTCAATAAGGCCACTCTTCGGACAGACGGAGGGGCCAGAGGCGGTGCTTACTGAGCAGACTGGTATGAGAAACGGAGTCTTGTGTTGCAATTCCTACTGGTGTCTTTGCTGTCACTACTAGCTCATGAGATGGTGCTTGGCATGGCGTGTTCCCATGCAATCCCGATGCCTTTCGGGGCTAGTGGTGTTCTTACTATGACCTAGTTACGCAATAGATGCAGTTCCCCTCTTTTGTTTGCTTTTTACAGTGGCATCTCGAGGGAATCCTTCCACTCCTGCTCCTACCATTACTTCTTTACCGCCTGCCACTACGAGGCCCCGGTCCGTGGGCTCTAGCCATGCAAGGGCCACTCCTCTTCCATCAGCCACCACCATGACATTACGAATGACCCCAGCAACCACAGTTGTGACAACTAAAGCGTCGCCACCATTGACCACCCTCTCTGGGCCAAGTGAGTGTGAATCCACACAGGATTCAGTGCTGATGAATTGGTGCGTTATAACCAGCGTACCTCTTGGATGCTGTGGTCTCCTCTGATCTCACGAGCTAAAACTGGGGTGGGCTGGGTGAATACTTGGAGGGAAAACTGCAGACCAAAAACAGGTGTGCAGGAGGCATGTTGGCAATCATAGAATGATAGAATTGTAGGACTGCCAAGGGCCTTGAGAGGTCTTCTAATCCAGTCCCCTGAACTCATGGCAGGACTAAGTTTTATCTAGAACAGCCCTGACAGGTGTTTGTCCAACCTGCTCTTAAAAACCTCTAATGATGGAGATACCACAACCTCCCTGGGCAATTTATTCCAGTGCTTAACCACCCTGACAGTTAGGAAATTTTCCCTAATATCGAACCTAAACCACCCTTGCTACAATTTAAGCCCATTGCTTCTTGTCCCATCCTTGGAGATTAAGAAAAACAATTCTTCTCCCTCCTCCTTGTTACAACCTTTTATGTACTTTAAAACTGTTATCATGCCCCCCCGCCCCCCAGTCTTCTCTTCTCCAGACTAAACAAACCCAATTTTTTCAATCTTCCCTCATAGGTCATGTTTTCTAGACCTTTAATCATTTTTGTTGCTCTTCTCTGGACTTTCTCCAGTTTGTCCACATCTTTCCTGAAATGTGGCACCCAGAACTGGACACAGTACTCCAGCTGAGGCGTAAGCAGTGCAATCCAGTAGGTGGAGCACTTTCCTCTCTGTCAGCAGGTGAAAGAGCCCAGAGATGTTAGATAATCACACCTGTTATAATCGTAATAATACTGAGACCACTGCTCTGAAACAGATTGATGAACCATTGTGTCTGACGTCCTGTCTGTGATGGTGGCCAATGTCTAATACATAAAGAGGAGGCATAAAATGCATGTAAGAGAATTGAGGTGTGCAGCAGCATCCCATGGGGGTGAATGTATTGTATCCTCTTCACTCAACACACCCTTGAAACCGCAAGGCTTGATTGTATCTTGGACTGTTCTCCCATAAAGAAGAATAGTCCAGACTTTTATGACAAATCCTGTCCAATATGAGACAGATTGGAGACCCATGGCCACCCTGTCCGTGATTTACAAACATTCTACCTTCGCTTCGCAGTCTGTGGCAAGTTCAAAGCGGACATCGCGTTCCTGGTGGACGAGTCTTCAAGCATTGGCCAGAGCAATTTCAATAAAGTGAAGGACTTCCTCTTCCGGATCGTCTCCTATTTCCCCAGAATTGGGCCTGAGGGAACACAGGCAAGAGACCATTATTCTATCTATCTATCTATCTATCTATTGTAGGTACCTTTCTTCATTCTCACAGCACCCCTGTGAGTTAAGGGAATGCAGTCTCTCCACTGTGAAGCTTAGAGAGGCTAAATGGCTTGCCTGAGGTCACACAGGAAGTCTGTGGCGGAGAGGGTAAATGAACCCACCTCTCCTAAGCCTGAGACTAGCATCCTAACCATTGGGCCAGCCTTCCTCTTGGTCCCCAGCTGGACATTCCCTGTTTTATGCCATTTTCTAGGAGTTTCCCCAAGCCCAACCCTCACTAAAAAAGAAGATCTCAGCGCTATTGAAACCTTGTATTTCAATGTGCTCACTTTGGGCCTAATCCAGCGCCCAGTGAAGTCAACGGAAAGACTCCTACTGGCTTCCATAGGCTTTGGTATAGGTCCTTTGCTTGTAATGATCCATTTGCACATGTGCTATCTGAATTGGACCTTTAGGCTAAGGCTCCATGTTACTTTCTTTCATTTGACTAAGAAAGGTGGAGTTCCGTGTTCTCATTGACTGCAGACCATTAATAGCACCCCCCTCCCATGATCTATGCCTTTTACTCGTGTTCTTATATCCATGACCCATGCTTCCTCGCTCCCTCCTGCCACCTTTATCGGCCTCACGTGCTCTTTGGCAGGTTGCTGTAGCTCAGTTCAGCGAAGAGCCCAGGACTGAATTCCACTTTAACCAGCACAAGGATCGGAATGGAGTTCTCAAAGCCCTCAAGGAGCTGCGGTACACTGGAGGCAATACAAAGACAGGTGCGCACCGTGTATGCCTGTTAGTGTTTGCAGGACGTATACTTTACAGCTAGAAATATGGGCCCAAGTCACCAAGTCTTGATCTGGATTTGGCTCTCAACTTCCCCAGCAGTCAGGTGGTGTGGGTTTGGTTTAGAGTTTTGAATCAGTCTGTTATAGAGGTTGGTTGGTTGCTTGTGAAGTTAAGATCTAAACGACTTTAAAATGTGGATTGGGATGGTCTAGAGTTTTGGTTTGGACCCATTTTTAATAATAGCCTGGCCATCTATTCTGGTTCTTTCATCAGCGTCCTAGTTTTTCGTCTGACCTTCTCTTTATAATGTTATATCCCCTCACGCTCCTTAATTTAATGTTTGTACCTAACATGGAGCCCTAACCGCAAGGTTACCTACCTACTGGGAATATTTTTAAGAGTGCTTTTAACTCTAAGACATAGCCTTGATCCTAACTCTAATCCTACTAGTCTTACATGCAAGAATTTGCAGGGTTGAGTTTTATGGTTCAGTGCTAGATTCTATTTCCTTGGGATTTATTTAGATCTCAGGGTCTGTGTCCTTTGAATGCACATCTATAACTCTCAATAACATTACATATGTGTGCACATTAGGTCGGACTTTCATAAGATCTTTGCGCTGACCTCGCTCTGCTCCCACTGAAGTCAAGGGGGTTTTTACCATTGACTTCAAGGGAAAGAGAGAGAGGCCAATTCAGTGTGTTTTGGGAAACCCCTCCTGTTGGGGATAAAATTATCTACACATCCCTTGCCTCTATTGGGAGCATCAAGGCTAGAAAAGGAGCAACTGACCCAAAATATTTCATGTTTTATAAAAGAAATCCCCCAAACCTTCAGTCGTCTGAAGATGCACTGTCTGTAACTACAGGCATGCTGGAGAAGGGGTAGCCATTTAGCTAGTCCGGTCAGACAACATAATTAGGTTTTACCTGGGTTCCTATTGCAAGGACTCCGAAATACACACACAGGAGCTTTAAAATGGGAGAAGTTAGCCCTCATTTTACCCTTTCTAAGCTGGTCCACCTAAATAGCTGCCCCTGTCTTGGAGGAGCAAGTTAACTAGGATAGAAATTAGAGGAAGGTTTCACGCCACCAGACCAGGGGAGGTTCTGGAGCAGCCTCTTTATAAGAGTAGCCAGGGGCAAACAACCTACCTAGTTTTAAAAGGGCACCTGATAAATTTATGAATGGGCGTATGTGACAGGGTTACCTGGACTCAATGGCCTAGGAAGTCTCTTCCAGTCTTGACTCCTATGTTCCTAAAGTGGCTCTGGCACCGATGAGTGTCTCTTAATGTGGCCAGCCTGTACATTTTCTAACATGTCCTTTTTTCCACCTGCAAACTGGATCAGACGGACTCAGACCCACAGCAGTACTATTCAGACACCAGGCATCGCGGGATCCAGGCGTGACTGGTGTGGAGAAAGTAAATAAGGAAGTGTTATTTACTTCTTCTCATAACACACGAACTAGGGGTCACCGAATGAAATTAATAGGCTGCAGGTTTAAAATAAGTAAAAGGAAGTATTGCGTTACACGACGCATAGTCAACCTGTGGAACTCTTTGGCAGAGGATGTTGTGAAGGCCAAGACTATAACAGTGTTGAAAAAACTAGATAAGTTCATGGAGGATAGGTCCATCAATGGCTATTAGCCAGGATGGTCAGGGATGGTGTCCCTTGCCTGTTTGCCAGAAGTTGGGAATGGGCAACAGGGGATAGATCACTTGATGATTACCTGTTCTGTTCATTCCCTCTGGGGCACCTGGTATTGGCCATGGTCGGAAACAGGAGACTGAGTTAGATGGACCTTTGGTCTGACCCAGTATGGCCGTTCTTATGTTCTAGGCTGAGTAGCTTTCTGCTTTCCCCCAGGTCGTGGCTTAGGCTATGCGCTAAAGGAGTTATTTCAGTCCTCCAAAGGGATGAGACCAACTGTGCCTCGCACGCTGGTGCTAGTGACTGATGGACAGTCCCAGGACGACGTGTTGCCACCAGCCAGAGTGGTGCATGCATTAGGTAGGGATCTTTGGGTGTGTTTTCTTGAAGGCCCCAATCCTACTCCCAGCAAAGTAGATGATAAAACTCCCGTGAGTTTCAGTTGTGCTGGATTGGGTCCTAATATAGTTTATTGTTGGCTTCCTGGGCTCTTATCTCTCCTTCCTTCACTAAAAGTGTGGGTGTGCCCCTGGCCAGACATACTGAGCCCAATACACCCGGGATGAGCTTGGCCTAATGTTTTTAGATGAAGACTCTGACCTGCACTGGATTTAATGCTCTGATGGCTGACAGCTCTGGAGACTAGGGTGGCCAGGTGCCTGGTTTTCAACCAGAACGTCTGGTTGAAAAGGGGTCCTGATGGTGTCCGGTCAAATCTACTGCGTTGGGCGGCTGCAGCACCCAGCCCTGGCTCCGCGCAGAGGTGGGGAAGAGCAGTGAGCGACGGGGGAGGAGGAAAGAGGAGCGAACAGGGGTGGGGGTCTCAGGAGGAAGGGGCAGGGCAGATGCAGGGCCTTGGGGAAGAGGTGGGGTGGAGGAGGTTCTGGCACGCCTGCTGGAGTGTCCAGTTTTAAATATTACAAAGTTGACAACTGTACGGGAAACTGATGTCCACATTTTGTCCCAGGCAATGGCAGTGCCAGCTTCTCCCATGCACTGCCCCATGAATGTATCTCGGTACTGCCCGGAGACCAGCTCTGGAGCGGGAGGGGAGTCTGGTCTGACGACCCATTCGAGATAATCCAATGAGGGTTTCCCTGCTCTTCTGCTGAGGTCTGTAATGGACTTTCCGCGGGGTGGGCTGAGAACAGCACCGCCTGATGGGCTTGTCACTCCCCTCTGAACACTGTGTTGAACTAGTTTGGAGTCTCTGTCCAATCTCTAAACGACAAGAGTTCGTGTAACTGTCCTGTGCCCTTGCCGGCAGTCTCAATGGAGAAGCCCACAGGTGGAGACTATGAGCTGGGAATGCCTTTGTCAGAGCAAACCCCATGCCCCCAACTCCCCCAAGTGACAAAGAGGAAACAGATGCCTTAGGGGTTAAGAGTTGACTCCCCACCCCAGTGTGAGCAATTTCTAGTGAATCAAGACAAACTGTGGCCGGGAGTTGAGCCCGGCTTTACTCTGCGGTTGAGAATTTCCAAGCTGATGGGTGGATTTAACCCCACAATTCCCATTAATCAGCGTCAATGGGCACTGTGGGGTGAACCCCCCTAGCCGGTTTGGAAGATCTCTGCCCGTATGTCTGTCTAATGAGGGAGCCGTTCGTTTCAGGAATCCGTGTCATCGCCGTGGGGGTCTCCAGAGCTGACCCCCAAGAACTGAACAGCATCTTGTTACACCGCAACCTGCAGAATGTTTTCTACATCAGCACCTTTGAGGACTTCCCCCACATCATCCAGGAGGTGATAGAAACCATTTGCTCTGACTCGCCGCATTCGGGAGCCCAACCGCAGCCCGGGGAGGTGAGCTGCTTTCTCCTACACCCTTTCCATGTCTATGCTCTTTTTCCCACAGAGAGCTTTGGAGAGAACTCAGCTCACTTCCCAGAGGTCATTTCTGGCAGCCTGTGATCGTGCTCCTACCCTGCGTTCTGGTTCAAAGCAAACCTAAAAAGTTAAGAATCATAGGATTGGCAGGGACTTCGAGAGGTCATCTAGTCCGGTCCCCCACGCTTATGGCAAGACTAAGTATTATAAACGAGGCTTTGGGCCTCATTCTGATCTCATTTATCATCCTCTGCTGTCAGCTGGCAGTCATACCATCCAAGACAGCAAGACAGGCACAGATGAAATCAGAATCTGGCCTTTTCCTGGTTATCCGTTAAGTCAGTGGCAAATTCATTACAGGGTGAAAAAACACTTGAGTGAATTGCCAATGCACAGTCGTCTCCCGGTAACAGTTGTCTGCTCAATCTGCCCCTGGCAATGTGCTATCAGTAGTTTGTAACCAACCGGGTCCTTAGACACCCATAATCCTCTTTGATAAGACAAAGATCTAACTCAAACTGCATGTTGTAGGTTGCTAGACAGGATATGAGCAAACTGCAGCAGGTTGGTGGCCTGGAGAACAACTCATCAATCCATGATCCAGCTTCTGTTGATGCAGAAATCCAAAGACCAGAGGGGCCATGCAATCCCAGGTGCTCAAAGGTAAGAAGAGCGATAGAAGCTCAGTAGGGTGTGCTTGGGGGAGTATATTGCAGGAGACACGTGCAGTGAGCACACTCATTAGTTTGGGGTTGATCCCCTACCACCTTGCTCCAGTTTTATGCCGGTGTAACTGCGCTGTCTTGAATGGAATTACATCCGCATGAAATAGGAGCAGTGGCCAATCAAGGCTCGTTACCTCTGGAGACATGGGCGCAAGCCGTGGTTTAGGTCACCAGTCGTCCACATATGGAGATCTCATGCTCAAATCTGTCATTTGTGCACTCCACAAACACGCAGCATCTCGTTGCATGAGGAGCAACCTGTGACCTCTCATCATTATTATCAACTTGTTTCTCATGGGCATTGCAGGTGAATTCATAGATTTTAAGGCCAAAAGGGACCATTATGACCATCTAATCTGCTCTCCTGCATAACACAGGCCAGGGAACCTCACCCAGTAACTTCTGCATCATGCCCATAACTTCTGTTTGAGCTATAGCATCTAATTTAGAAAGACCTCCAGTCTTGGTTTAAAGACTGCAAGTGACAAAGAATCCACCATGTCCTCAGGCAAGTTGTTCCAATGGTTAATGACCTTCCCTGTTAAAAATGTGCTGTGAGATTTTAGGAGGATTTGAATGCCAAGCAGGAGATGGTCTGTTGCATTTATTTAATAGTTTCCTATGAGCCATTGCCTTTCTCTCTGTTAAAAATAAAGCATCAGTAGGTTCTTGCCTGCATTGGGAAGCACCTGTAGCCAACCTCTGGCCCAACATAAAGGCTGGGAGAGAGGAGGAGCAACTGTAACAGTTGACCATGCTAACCTACTGGATGGGATGGGAAGCCATTTCTTGCCAGTTCTGCAATAAGAGTAGGGTGACCAGATGTCCTGATTTTTTAGGGACAGTCCCGATATTTGGGGCTTTTTCTTATATAGGCTCCTATTACCCCCCACCCCCTGTCCTGATTTTTCACACTTGCTGTCTGGTCACCCTAAATAAGAGGCGGGGGGAGGAAGTGCAATTATTTTTCTTCCTGTTTAATCTGTTGCCATCACAGCTTCTATTCTTATTCTGTTACAGGCTCTTAAAGGAGAGAAGGTAAATATTCTAGCCAGCTGAGCGATTTCACTCTTCAACGGGAACACACAAGCCTTGGCATTTACGTGCTACGCTGGAGGGGACCAGAGAAATACCCAAGACAGAGACTGTAGATAGGCCTCTGGCTAAAGCCATGAAACAGCCAGGAGGAGACTGTTGCCTACATTGGGCTCTGGATGAGAGATCTCTCCAAGTCAAAATAGTAACCGAAGGGCAGGGCTCAGTGTTCGAGGCCTGAACCCCTTGAGTCACCTTGCAACAGGCTGACGTACCAAATATCTGGGCATTAATCTGGGTAACTCAGAACAGGAGAGGTGTGTTTGGATTACGAGGGTTGGGCTGGGAGCTCACCTCCATCTGAGGTCAAATTAGGGACTGTAAATCCTGGATCCAAACACTCCTACTCTCTGCTGGACACTGTGACCAATCCATTGCTACAAGCACATACTCTTTGGCCTTGTCTAGATGAAGATAAAAGATGTTTTTAAAAAATGGGATAGCCAATGCATTTTAAAACCCTGCTGTAAACAGGACAAGTTGTATGTTAGCTGATAGAGGTGAACCCTATGGGATTAGAAATGTGCTTCTTGTATTAACAGCAGGGGAAAACAATACGGTCAAATAGTTTCAAGCTATGAAGCTGTTATTATATATAGAGGAAGGGTAGTTCAGTGGCTAGAGTCTTGGAGACACAGGTTTAATTCCCAACTATGCCACAGACTCCTTTTGTGACCTGGGGCAAGTCATGAAGGCTATGTCTACACTGCAGCTGGGAGCATTGCTTCCCAGTGCGTGCCGATGGATTTGAGTTAGCGTGCTACAAGGACAGTGTCGGTGGGCTAGATTCCCAGGCCAGAAGGGACCATTGTGATCATAGAATCATAGAATATCAGGGTTGGAAGGGACCTCAGGAGGTCATCTAGTCCAACCCCCTGCTCAAAGCAGGATCTAATCCCAACTAAATCATCCCAGCCGGGCTTTGTCAAGCCTGACCTTAAAAACCTCTAAGGAAGGAGATTCCACCACCTCCCTAGGGAACCCATTCCAGTGCTTCACCACCCTCCTAGTGAAAAAGTTTTTCCTAATATCCAACCTAAACCTCCCTCACTGCAACTTGAGACCATTACTCCTTGTTCTGTGATCATCTAGTCTGACCTCCTGTAGAACAAAAGAATTCCTGGAGGAGAATATCTGTTGGAAAAGCATCCAGACTTGAGTTAAAAATGGTCTGTGATGGAGAAGCCACCACAACCCAATGGTTAGCTACTCTCACCGTTACAGATTTACGCCTTATTTCCAGTCTAAAATGAGCACTCCCTGTGGTTCTGGATCACAGCGTTTACTGCTCTATCAGCCCGGATTCCTCCCACACTAGAATGTGTGAGCAGGCCTGGCTCCAAAGCAGCACTAAAAGGGTTAATAATATATGGAGCTATACCTATCTCATAGAACTGGAAGGGACCCCGAAAGGTCATTGAGTCCAGCCCCCTGCCTTCACTAGCAGGACCAAGTACTGATTTTGGCCCAGATCCCTAAGTGGCCCCCTCAAGGATTGAACTCTAGCAGGCCAATGCTCAAACCACGGAGCTATCTCAAAATCTTAACAGGCTTATACTCACGTGGTCAGTGCCTGGCGGAAATTATGGACATTAGTGACCCTGTGGGTCACTAGGTTGAACTCAGCCTCTCTCTGTACCTAGAGCAGGCATAGCAAGGGTGGCAGCTCAGCTCACACACCCATTGGCTCAGGTGGGTAGCCTGTGCTCCCCTAGTCTCATTGCTGGCTTTAACATGCTATCTCAATCAGAGCTGACACATCCGCAGGGTAAACCTGGCTGTCGTCTCTCTGGGCCTCAGATCCCATCTGTACAAGGGGATCCCGACACCCTGATCCCACACCAGGTTTTGCCACTATCTTCAGGTTCAAGCCCTTATTAGTCCCACCCATCCAATCAGAACCCAATTGCTTGGGTCAATTAAAAGCAGACTATAGAAAGCAGGGCAGAGAACACTTCTGGGCTGGGAGGGGGAAGGGGCTCTTCTTTATTTCATCTCTGCCAAATTCTGTTCTCAGTGCCAGTGATGTAACCTAGAGGCTGCAGTCTCACTGCGCTAGGTGCTGTACAAATACATACCAAAGAGAGGGCCCCTACCTAGAGAGCTAGTCATCTTGTTGCACCTGTGCAGCTGAGAGGGGGGAGGGATAGCTCAGTGGTTTGAGCATTGGCCTGCTAAACCCAGGGTTGTGAGTTCAATCCTTGAGGGGGCCATTTAGGGATCTGGGGCAGAAATCTGTCAGGGATGGTCCTTGGTCCTGCTGTGAAGGCAGGGGACTGGACTCGACTCGATGACCTTTCAAGGTCCCTTCTAGTTCTATGAGATAGGTATATGTCCATATTAAGAGAACAGGATCTGATTGTGACATAGGCCTGTAAACCATGGAGTAGTTCCCAGGCCCTGAAACTGAGCAGACCCCTTCCCTGCCCCTGTTTAAGCTCTCCCCACCCAGTTCTGCAGCGCCTCCTCACGTGACTCTAGTTCTGTTTCCTTGTTGCGCAGGGCGAGAGAGGCCCACCTGGAGAATTGGTGAGTACGATCAGAGAAGATCCTCCACGTGAACCAGGAAATACATTGTCCCAATGGCTTGAGGCCTTGAACAGACCCTCTGGGACAGGGGGAAATATAAGCAAAGCGTAACCTCAAAAAGGAGGCTAACGGGCTTGGGGTCTGAATGTAGCCTCTGGGGAGTGAAGTTCACCCTTCTGCAGAGGCAGGGCTGGCTTTAAGCCGATTTGGCTGATTCCCCGAAATGGGGCCCCGCAACGTCTGGGGCTGCCGGCGGGGGGGGAAAGCCATGTCCTGCTTCTCCCCCCTCTCTCCAGTGCTTGCGCTGCCATACAGCTGATCAGTGCAAGCCTGTGAGGGAGGGGTGAAGAGGAGGAATGTGGCGTGCTTGGGGAAGAGGTGGGGCCAGGGTGGGGATTTGGGGAGGGATCCAATGGGGTAGGGAGGGGGTGGAGTGGGGCCCCAGGGGGTGTGCAAGACAATTCGTGTCTCGGCGTGGGGCCCCACACCTGCTAAAGCCGGCCCTGTGCAGAGGATTGGATTTCTAAAGGGATCCAATAACTCTCTCTCTCCACCTCTTAAGAGGCATTGTTGTAAATGGCTGAGTAGTGGGCTAAACTGCCCTCCCAGGGCTCTCTTGGGTGGGTTGATCTGTGTTTCTTTGGAGGGTAATAACGTCCTGAATTTTTTCCCCATTTTTTTCCTTTTCAAGAGCTTCACCGGTTTGCAGACTGGAGGCAGTTACGATCCATACAGCTTTGCTGTGAAGGGAGAGAAGGGAGAGAGGGTGAGTTTCGCAGCAGGAGTGATGCACTGGATTAATTAGCACATGGCTAGGTAATTAATAGTTACAAAAGGCTGCCCCAGCGCATGGTGCATTTAATGTTCCCTGTTCCCTGCTGGCTTTGAAAATCAAACAGGACTGAAGGTGTGTGTGAGAGAAGGAGAGAGAGACATGCATGGGCACGACACTTTATTTTTAGTTTCTCAGAGATGATTTTCGAGTTCACAAAACTTGTCTGGGCTGGGAAATCCCATGTGTTTATGGCTGTTTTTCCCCCAGGAGGCATCCAACCGCTGATAAAACACTGATGTGTTTTTCTAGGGAAAGGGAAGCCAGTGCTGTTAGAACATCCTCTCCCATCACTGCCCAAAAAAGTGTTGATCAGAGTTATTGGAGGCTTGTAACACCACCCAAGCTATGCCCCTGTCTCTGACCTTGTTACTTTCCTTGTATTTAGGGGCTCCCTGGGAAAGATGGAATTCCCGGACTGCCAGGTCGACCTGGGCGAGTGGGCCCCCCTGGCTCCCCTGGGCTGATGGTAAATATCTGGATTAATGAGCACTGTCAATGCTGGGATTAATAAAGGGAGGAAAACCCCTTTTCCGGTGTTTGAACATCTATTTTTCTCTCCCTCAATTTACAGGGGCTCCCTGGTATCCAAGGCGATCTCGTAAGTATTCCGAACCAGCAAGGTCTCAGAAACTCAGAAACCCAAATAACCCTCGCTGGATCCTGCACCGTGCGGGCGTGGACGGTTGCAGGGGCAACGGCCAAGTCAGTCGTGCTGAGCCGGTCGGGGAGCCCCAAGGAACCCAATTTTGCATTTATTGGGGACTGCCGGGGCCAAATGACTCCTGCCCTGCAGCCGAAACGAGGCCAGTGAGACGCATACGGCCAAGTGCCTCTCAGGTTGAGCGGGATCGCGCCTGAGGCTGTGTCCATCTTTCTGTCCCTAGGGAGCATTGCACAGACTTTCTACCACTCAGTGCAGAGGGCAATACCTGTGACTTAGCCTCACCTGCACTGACATGTAGCGTCCACTCACACTCGCTGGAACTCAGTGGTTATGATAACACATTGGCTAAGTGCTTGCGATAATGTCTCCTGCTAGTGGCTGACTCTGGGGAGGATAACAGCCAACTACTGGAGCTCTCCCTTTGGCTCAAGGGTTCAGATCCCCAGCCCAAGCCCTGCTGTGTAAGTCTAGTGCATCACAGGGGGCCCAGTCACAGAAACCACCATTGCAAACGAACACCCACCTGACTCCATTCAGAGGGGTCATGTTGTCCCTATAGAGTGTGTATACAATAACCCACCACCCATCATAAGTCATGAGTGGGGACTGAACATGTGAGCTACAATGCTAAGAGCATGGCTTTCGACTGCTTGAGCAAAAGGAGTAACTTCAGTAGCTGGTAGCAGTAGTAAGCTCTTATCTTATGTGCATCAGCCACTAGAGGGAGACATGTAATACACTAAATTAGTGGGTACGTGACTCCTATTGATGTTGGTACCACAAAGGAAGGAACCCTACCCATTGGAACCTGTTTAAGTTATCACTCAGTGGGCCAACAAAAATTTGTCATCTAGTGGAGATGGGTTTATAGTTTAGGATCCAACAGAATGGCACTGACGGCCTTGGGTTTATAAATGATCACCTCACCTAAGGAATTGCAGGTTGGCAATGATTGTGAGCCGGTTTCTCTCTGTTGTTTAACTCTGCATGATTTATTTTAAATTCCAGGGACCTCCTGGATATCCAGGGCCAACGGGGCCGAAAGGAGACAGAGTGAGTTCACTTTACATGTTTCAATAGAAAAAGCCATTGTAATGCACTGTCCTCCTATTAAGGTGTGTATGTCTCACTGCCCTCTACTGGATAGAATCAGAACTTCTGAAGTGCATGTCACTGGCCGTGTACGGCTGGCAGCTGATGGAGATTCTCCTCCAGCTCAAGGGTTAGGGGCCTGTACACTAGGAACAGGAGGTCCAAGTACCATCTCTGCTGAGGCTGTGAAATTCCCAGTGACCATGGTGTGCAGCCATAATGTCAGCAGTGAGTTGCTGTCAATGGTAAGGGAAGCACGGCTGTCCAGGAGGTACAATCTATAAAATGAACGGCACCAGACGCAGTGTAACATTGGGGAAGGTCAGTTGTCTTGGTACCCACGCACAGCTCCCGGTGCGCATTGTATGCGGGCATTGGAGGGCAATGCAGACCTCCTGGCAGGTTTGTAAAACTGATTCAGATAAATCCCACAGAGGCTTTAGACTCTGTGTGTCCAAGCTGAGTCTTTAGTGAAGGTTAAATCCTACCAGGGGCAATGGGAGAGGACTGCACAGGCATTAATATAAATCCCTGATTAATCTCACTCGGCTCAATAATTTCACAAGGAATCTAGCACTCTGCTTAATGGGTCGATCTGCATTTTTTTGAGCATCACCTCTCAACCGTAGAATCGTAGGACTAGAAGGGACCTTGAAATGTCTTTTTGTCCAGTCCCGACTCATGGCAGGACTAAGTATTATCTAGTCCAGGGGTCGGCAACCTTTGGCACCTGGCCCGTCAGGGTAAAGCTGCTGGCAGGCCGGGACGGTTTGTTTATCTGGAGCATCCACAGGCACGGTGCCCCTCAGCTCCCATTGGCTGCGGTTCGCTGTTCCTGGCCAATGGGAGCTGCGAGAAGCGGCGTGGGCTGAGGGATGTGCTAGCCACTGCTTCCCACAGCTCCCATTGGCCGGGAACAGCGAACTGTGGCCAGTGGGAACTGCGGGGCTCCGTGCCTGCAGACACTCCAGATAAACAAACCGGCCCAGCCCGCCAGTGGCTTTACTCTGACAAGCCGGGTGCCAAAGTTTGCCGACCCCTGATCTAGTCCATCCCTCACAGGTGTTTGTCTAACCTGCTCTTAAAAATCTCCAATGATGGAGATTCCACCACCTCCCTAGGCAATTTATTCTAGTGATTAACAACCCTGACAGTTAGGAAGTTTTTCCTAATGTTCAACCTAAACCTCCCTTGCTGCAATTTAAGCCCATTGCTTCTTGTCCTATCCTCAGAGGTTAAGGAGAACAATTTGTCTCCCTCATCCTTGGTAGCTTGCAGTAGCCCCCTACCATGACATCACTCTTGTTTTTTACCTCTTTTATCCTTACCCAGAGACTTTCAACAAGTCTGTCTCCTATTTTCATCTCAACCTCAGTCCAAGTGTGTACATTTTTGATATATAAGGCAACACCTCCTCCCTTTTTTCCCTGCCTGTCCTTCCTGAGCAAGCTGTACCCTTCTATACCAATATCTCAGTCATGTGTATTTTCCCACCAGGTCTCTGTGATGCCAATTATGTCATAGTTGTGTTTACGAACTAACATTTCTGGTTCTTCCTGATTATTCCCCATTTTCTCGCATTCGTATACAGACATCTCACTTACGGATTTGATTTCCCCCTATGTTCTCTCTTGTCTCTCCCTTATCCCTGCTATAATGGCCCATGCTCTAGCCAGATTATAACACTTCTCCCAGATCTCCATGCTTTTGACTTACCTGTGTGCTTTTATCTCCTGCCCCCATTAAACCGAGTTTAAAGCCCTCCTCCCTAGGTTAGCCAGTCTGTATCCAGTAACGTCTGTATCAGGCCTGTCCTTTGAGGATGATTGTTTATACGTCTGTCTGCCTGTCTAACAGCCTCTGGAGCAATAGACTAACTGACTGAAGAGCAAGGAAGTCGGGACCAGCTCCTCAGCTGGCATGAATGGGTGAAGTTCCATTGAAGTCAATGGAACCCTGGGGACCCACCCCAGCTGGGAATCTGGCCCTACGGGTTGCAATGTGTATTGTGTACAGAACAAGTTCTCAGGGTTTCCTCGGATGGAAATCTGAGCGGAAAAACTTCCTGACACCCCAGTCAGCTGCTGAGTGTGCTGCTTCCTGTTGTGCAGGGGGAACCGGGCTACGTGCTGGGAGGGGTGGAAGTGATCCCTGGCCGAAACGGACAACCAGGCTCTCCTGTGAGTAAACACATGACATCTGGTATAACCCCCTCCCTTCTACTGGCGGTGTCTCCAAATGGTGTATGGTCACCATAGATGGCACAAGCGGGGCTGCCAGGCCTTTAGTATTATCTGTAGTCTAATAGCGGCCAAGGGGTCTCTATTAGGATTGTGCTAGTCACTGTACATGCATATATAGCACAAGACAGACCCTACACCAGGTAGCTTAGGATCAAAATAGGTGCACTGAGGGAGAAAGGGATGCAACATACGAGCCGGCTAGGCCAGTGCTTTCCTTTCCCTGGGAGTCTACTGTACAGGGGCTGGTGACTTGGGAGACAGCGCTCTTTCCTTTGAGTTAGCACTAGAGGGCACTGTGCTGCTGGATGTGGACCTGGCCACGTGCGGGCGTTAAGGCTCTCATGCGGCATTGTGTAAGATTAGGGTTGTTAACCCCCACATCCTGATGAAGTACAGTTTGGCTAACTGCTCTCTGGCTTCTTAAAGTCCCCCCTTGTCATTTCAATGAGATACAAAATCCTCCTTCCTGTCCTGGCCTGAGCTGCTGGCAGTGTTCTGCGCTATTAACCAGCTGCTGCCTTTCACCCCAGAGGTGGCAGCATTTCAGTGCTGGGTGCATGGATCTCAACGTATGTTCTAAATAATCTTATGCCCGCTCAGTGTTTCCTGCTGTACCCTCATCCTCTCTTTACACTGCAGCCATCCTCTGTCCTCTTGAGAGCAGGGTTATGAATTTCTTTCCTTCAGTGTCTCTCCATGCAGCTCAGTGATTGGCCATAGTGGTCCCCACTGAGTGACACGGGGCACTTACCCTAGGCTCCTATGCTGCTCAGCTTCACTGGGAGTGGGAGTAAAGGTCACTGGGGTAGAGCTTGTGTCTCTCAAATGTTTGGCTTGAATCATTTCAGGGACAGAAAGGGCAGCCGGGAGTTCCTGGAGCAGCAGGACCGCCAGGGCCACAGGGACCGCCTGGGATGTCTGTGAAGGTGTGTGTGACTGTGAACTAGCCATTCGTCTGCCTTGCTACGCTATAGACACCTGGGGGCGTGTGCTCAATGCGGGGTAACTAGCGGAGTTACCCTGGTCAAGGCAGGGGGAATCCACATTCTATCACACAGCGAGGGGTCAGGCCTCCTAGACATCTGCAAATTAACCCTGTGCCATTGACGCCAATGGGCTTTACTGGTGACGTCTGTGAGTGCAGGATCAGGCCCCTCTCTGTAGCCTGACCTCTCATCACAAGACAATGGAGTCCAACCGCAGTTTCAGAGGACCTAGGGGGCCAGTTTGAAAGCAGCCTGGGATAGGAGTGAGTGAAAGTTGTTACCGTCTGGGGGTGGTTCCGTGGTTGAGGTGAAATATTGAAGCCTGGCTTGCAGTGTGCGCAGCCCAGTTGTCAATAGTTGCCTCCCTACCCAGCCACCTCCTAGACAGTTTGAGCAGAGGACAATGGCAGAGTGGGACTTGAACTCCCCTCTCAGCCCAAGAGGTGGTCTCCAAGTTGGCTCTCCGGGGTGGAGGCCTCTGGGCTGCGCAGTGTAGCGGAAGCTCGTATGGCAGCTATACTTGTCCTGGGGGTAGAGGGCTTCGGCCTTTGGGACTGTCAGCCCCAGCACTGAATTTGCAGAAGGAAACAAAAAAATAGTCCTGGCACCTGCTTTGAAACAGCAGGAGAGCACAACCCAAGCGGTGAATCCTGCAGCATCTTGCCTGGGTGCAAACATGGGAGGTGGCTCCCCTCACACGCGTGGGGCAGAACGATCCCAGTGGGGCAGACTGCAGCCCGGATTGTGTAGATCTTTGAGAGGAGGTTCCAGCAGAAAGGGAGGGGGCCCTGAGAAGGAAACAAGATCGCTCCTGTCTTGTTCTGAGGCTGTATCATTCTCTGTCCTCTGTTTCAGGGCGAGCCTGGAGACGCAGGTCGTAGAGTAAGTAGATGAGATTTATTCCTAGTTTCATCTCCTGTGTGTGTCTGTGTGTCTGTCAGACCTGAGGAAAGGTCTGTGCATCTCGAAAGCTTGTCACTCTCTCCAATAGAGGGTGGTCCAATAAAAGACATTGCCTCACCCACCTTGTCTCTCTAATATCCTGGGACCAACATGGCTTCAACCAGACTGCATGCCACATGTCTGTCTGTCTGTCTGTCTGTCTCAGCAACTGACTGATGGCCCTGCATTTTATTTTTAAGCTGCCTAATGGATTGAATACATGCCCCAGTGATGCTCAGCCTGGGGACCTATCCAAGAAGAGACATTTCCTTTTTTTGGTTCCCTCCTCTCTCCCTATGCCCCTCCCCTCTGATCCCTGATCTGTCTGGTGGTGCTAGTAGTGTTGCTATGGCTACCGGTCAGGAGTAGGTGTGTGTGTATGATGCAGGGAGGGAGCTGCCCAAGTAGCATAGGCCTACGACCATCACTGGCCACAATAACACAATAAGTCGAGTATGATTCTCCCCTGTACCGCTGGTCTCTGCGGCAGCTTGTGTCCTGTGGCAGGCTGCAGGGGTTTCTGGGGGGCCATTGTATCCAAAAGGTTCTTTAATGCATGAGCATTAATCACTGAACATATGATGGATACTGAGGGCGGCTCCTGGAAACATGCAGTGGTGTTCTAGGCGGTCAGAGTCTCTCATGCATTATACAGGGGCCTCGAGGGAAAAGCGGCGCCAAGGGCGACAAAGGAGATGCGGGAGAGACCGTGAGTACAGACCGGTGCTGAACTTTCGCCAAGAGTCGCTTTGGGCCAGATGGAGCCTGTCAGACGCAGGCCATCGCTTAGGGTGGGGTGGAGAGCAATGCATCCTGGGATGCCTGGGAAATGTCATGGAAGCGTAGTCGGCAGGATCTACACCATGTTTGCTGGTTAGCCATGGGTCACGCTCCCAGAATTTATTCACCAGATAGCATAGATACTAAGAGTCCAAGGTGAGAAGGTTGGGAACGGGTGAAGAAAAAGGTGACGGTTTCTTGTTTTCCGTTTATTTTCAGTAAGGGAACTAGAACAAAGGGAAAAGCAGGATGAGTAAGCTGGAGACATATGATAAACTTCCCAAACTAGAGTTAGAAAACCTCTGTGCTGACCATGGCCTGGAAGCTGCAGTCAAAACTACAAGGGGATAAGAGCAGTGCTCATGGAACATGAGAAGCAGCAGTTAGAGCTGGCCAAGAGAGAGGCCCAAAAGCTGGAGGTAGCGGAGAAAGCCAAAGAGTGAGGTGCCTCTGGGTAGCGTCACACTCCCCTCTGTGGAGGGCACCAGCGTTCACTGGCTAAGATGCTGAATGAGCTAATTCCCAGCACTCTGTGGGACCTCATTTTTATCATGTGGCTTGGTACTAGCCCTAAATGCCTTGGGTGTGACAGGCACTGCATTGAACCAGATTCTCTTCCTCTTTCGCAGGGGAAAGCCGGTTTGCCTGGCCCCCTCGGGCTGGATGGTGCTCCTGGAATTCCCGGGCCAAGGGGAGAAAAGGTCATTACTCATGTAATATGTCTTTACTTTTCATCTGCCCAGAGGGGACAGAAATAGCTGTGTTGCCGTAATGGCAGGATGTACCAAGTGCGAGGAGGATGGAGAAGCGTTACCATGTCTCCCCCTGCTCCATGGACTTGCTGCAGCCAATATCATGGAACAGTATAGACATTGTCTGTCTAGCCAGCCTTCCCTGTTCCTCTGACTCCTCTCCTCTCTGTGCATCTGCATGGTTTGGCCAGTGTAGATGTCAGGGCCTTCTCCTCTCCCACGGGATGGCCTCCTTTGGTGTCCCTGCCTCCTTTATCCCCATCCTCTTTCACATCTCACCTGAAACCTCTACAGTCCTTTTCTTAACTTGTCTCCCTTTCCAGGCAACTTAGGCCGACCTTATAAATACAGCCCTGTAATGCTGAGGCTACATCACCAGACACTTCTCCAGACAAAATGGTCCTGCACTAAATTGCTGGCGCCCAGTGGGAGTTCAGAGACGCTGCTGTAGATAGGACTGATTTCAGTTACAGTTCTTCTCTCTTCTCTTGTCTCTCTTCTCCCTCTGGAGTGTTACCTTCACTTAGGCTGTGTTTGCTTTTCAGGGGGAAGCAGGGATCGGCATTCCAGGCACACCTGGCTTTAAGGGAGCAGAAGGAGGAAAGGTATGTTTAATCTTTGCAACCAGGTTTGTACATGTGCAATAGGCAACCTCTGTCCCTCCCCTTTTCCTTAAACACTCCAGATGTAGTTATTAACAGATAGAACCAAAAAACTAAATCTGTCCTTGTAGTTTTATGGCCTGGGTTATGCAGAAGGTCAGACTAGATGATCACAAGTTACGTCCATACTTGAAGCTAGGGGTGTGATTCCCAGCTTGCCTAGATATACTCATGCTAGACCTCTGAGCAATATTTATCTGCTTTCACACAAAAATTTCTATATTTTTCAGTCAGAAAACCTAAATATTTTAGCTGAAACCGAAATATTTCAAATTGGACATGCTGCCACGTTGCCTCATGGGAGTTATAGTTTACTTGCCTCATGTCTCCATTCTCCTCTATGGGCTGAGCTCCCCAGAGTGACTACATCTCCCAGGAAGCACCATGGCCAGGGACTCCCATGATGTACTGCCTCCTGTCTCCAAAAGGGGAGATCATGCTGTGTCATGGGAGATGTAGCCCTGTATTCAAATTTCTGCCAAAAATTGAAATATGTATTTTTCCCCCTCAATTTTTGTCAAAATGTTCTGTGGAACCTCCTCCTCTTTTCCACCAGCTCTCGTGGGCAGGTTAGTGCAGACAAGGTGTCAGTGGCCACCAGCATTTTTATCATGGTGTTTAGACCTTCTCTCATTAGGGTGGGAGGACTCAGTGATTTAAACACCATCAGTACTGGGAACCTTGGTGCCCAATATGGCTACTGCAGTAGAACTAAACCAGCAATAGCCAGGTGTTTGGCAGCAAAGCCCAGTGTAGATGCAGCCTCATTTGTCGGACTTGGACTGGACGTTATTTTCTCAGAGGTAGGAGAGAATTTCACCTGGCTGTGAGCACCATGTGGCTGCGGGGTTCCAGCTTGGGGAGGAGTCAGTCTGATCCAATTAGCATCTGACCTGCACGGCATTAACACCCAAACACTGGTCCCAATGAGCAGCCTGAGCCTCACGGCCTGTGCTCTGGGGTGTTCCAGTGGGGCTGTAGAGAGGGAAGGCACCTAGGCCATGGAACAGAAGTGGAGCTGTTCCACAGTGTCCACTGCAGCCTGTGCAGCACCTGGGCTCCCCCTCTGCCAAGGGAAATGGTTGGTGGCAGGTCCACCAGCTCTACCCCCAAATCCCTGCTGTGCCAAGCAGTGCCTGGAGTTCCTGTGCAGCTGGACTTGTGGCACAAAAATCCCGCTTGGGCTTCCGGCATCCTGCCCTTTGCCCCTAAACACCTGGTAGGAATTGCTCTGTCCTTGCAAGACGCCTGTGTCTTCACTGTTTGATGGAACTGGACTTAGCAAACTGTTGGAGGTGACAATCTAATAGGCGAGGGACGGGCGTTGCTGAAATCAGCCCTTTGTAAATAGCTGGATGACAATGGAGAGGTGTGGTTGAAACTCATGCACTGCTGCTGGGGTTGAAAAAGGAGAGAAACACTGAAGAATGGTGATGATGATGAAGAGGACAGGAGCCAGCAATGAGTCCTAGAGTCTGAGCTGTCTTCTCTCTCTGTTTTTCAGGGGGAAATGGGACCACCCGGAGCACAAGGACAAAAGGCGGGTATTAAAAACACTCATCCAAGTTGAACCTGTGCTAGGGTGGTTGGAAATGGGTGGTGGTCTTCTGACGGGGAAGGTGGACGGACATCACTTGTGGCATAGAATACAATGACACTACCCCAAATTCAAAACCTGTGAAAGGAAATCCTTCTTCACGCAAGGCATAATTAGACAGTGGAACTCCCTACCACAGGATGACATTGAGGCCAAGAATCCAGCAAGACTTATAAAAAAAAAAGACTGGATGGGTAGAAACTGGTCATGAATAAATTTAGGCTGGAAACTAGAAGGAGGCTTCTACACATCAGAAGAGTAAAGTTCTGGAACAGCCTCCCCATAGGAGTAGTGGGGGACAAACAACCTAAGTAGTTTTAAGATGGAGCTTGATACATTTATGAATGGGACTATATGATGTGGCTTCCTGTGATAACAGGGGATTGGACTCAGTGACACAGCGATCCCTTCGAGTCCTGTGTCCTATGTTCCCATTTATATGGCTAGCCAGAATATCCAGAGTTGCAGTAGTTAATGCTAACATCCATCCATTCTTGAAGACAGATTAAAACTCATGCTTCAAGTCTTAACCTCTAACTATTAGGGATTAGGATGAGTCTGAAAGTGGGGGACAGATTAGCCCACATCTTCCTAATGTCCAGTTTGAACGCCTTCCTCTGAAACATCTGGTGGTCTCTGCTCTGATCCAGCCTGGGAATTCCTAGGTTCCTGGTAGGGTTACCAGGCGTCCAGATTTTGACCGGAATGCCCCATTGAAAAGGGACCCTGGTGGCTCCGGTTGGCACCGCCAACTGATCCGTTAAAAGTCCGGTCAGCGGCGCAGCGGGGCTAAGGCCAGCTCCCTGCCTGCCATAGCTCTGTGCGGCTTCTGGAAGCGACTGCCAGGTCCTTGCGGCCCCTAGGCCTATGGGCGGCCAGGGAGGCGCCATGAGCTATCCCCGCCCTGAGTGCCGGCTCCGCAGCTCCCATTGGCCAGGAACCGTGACCAATGGGAACTGTGAGGGTGGCGTCTGTGGGTGCAAGGGCAGCGCACGGAGCCTCCCGTCCATGGCTGCCCATGCGCCATGGGGCTGCAGGAACCTGACAGCTGCTTCCTGGGAGCCACAGTAAGCACTGGCGGGACCGTGTACCCTGAACCCCATCACACACTCCAACCCCCTGCCTGGAGTCCCCTCCCACACCCAAACTCACTCCCAGAGCCCGCACTCCCCCCCAACACTCTGCCCCAGCCCTGAGCCCCCTCTTACACTCCAAATCCCTCATCTCTGGCCTCACCCCAGAGCCCACACCCCCAGATGGAGCCCTCACCCCCCCTGCACCACAGCCCAGAGCCCCTTCTTGCACCCTGAACCCCTCATTTCTGGCCCCATCACAGACCCAACACCCCCAGCCAGAGCTCTCACCCCTTCTCACACTCTGAACCCCCTCAGCCCCAGCCAGGAGCCCCCTCTTGCACCCCAAACCCTTCATCCCTGGTCTCACCTGAGTCCGCACCCCCAGCCAGAGCACTCACACCTCAACCCCCCTGCCCCATCCTGGTGAAAGTGAGTGAGGGTGGAGGAGAGCAAGCGACGGAGGGAGGGGGGATGGAGCAAGTGGGGGCTGCACCTCAGAGAAGGGGAGGGGCCTCGGGGCAGGGGGCAGGGCAGGGGTGTTCGGTTTTGTGCGATTAGAAAGTTGGCAACCCTAGTTCCTGGTGGAGGCTGGCAAGGTGAAAGGTGTCTGGAAAGGCATATTAAACTGTATTATACTGTTCAGCCACAAGGCAACATACCTTTTTAAAGCTAACCTCCGCCATTGCTGGCAATGCATTAAAGGATCTTCTAGTGAACACATCTGGTGTGTCTCGCCCTGAGAAGGGAGTTCTGTAGCCAGTCCATATCTGGTACAGGACCCTGACCTGCTGGTAAGCAGCCCTACCGTGTACAAAGTGTCCATGAGAGAGGCCCCTCACAAATGGGTGGCAATGATTGTTGGGGAAGTGACTCGGGGAGAGTGAGGAGGATTTTGCCACCCGAGGGCGAGGAAAATGTTGATGCATCAGCCTGTGACAGTCACTGCTGGACAAGGATCAGGGAGTCAAATCCTGTGATTTTTTGATGTAACAAAAAAGCCCCGAGAGTGGCTTAGGTATGTGAAAGATAATCAAATCTATGGGCATCAAGTGGTCACCTCCATGGGCTGGGAAGATCTCCCGGCCCCTACATGTAGCACTGAACGAGTAGCTAAATGCACGATTGAGTGAGCAATTGCCCGCCCCCTGAAGCATGGGACGACAGCCACTGCTGTGGGCAGGATACCGAACCTAACTGGCCAACGGTCGGGTCTGGCTAATTCCATCTTCTTATCACTGTTTCTCTTCCACGCCTCTCCAGCATCAAGTGGCTTATTGCTTGGAGAGGATTCTGCAGAGCAGTGGCTCTGGGAGATGGACAGATGACTCACTTCAGACCATCTTGTCTAGCTAATGGAGAACTTGCTTTCTAAAGAACTGCCCCTTCAACACACAACCTTGAGGGCCAAGACCCGCTTGCATGTAGAAAAATGCATGTGCATGTTTATAAGAAGGCATGGGAACTGGGTATTTGCACATGCAAACAGCCGTCTCTAACTTGCCCTTTGCATGTGCAATCGTGGTATTGTGTACACAAATGCACTTGTATGTGCATTTTTGCATGTGCAATTGTACCTCTTTAAGAGAAGAAAAAAGCGTGACTGGGTGTTTTTTGTAAGGGCCCTTAAGCCTATAACTACTGGTGTTTTTAATGAGTTCTTTCTGGGACAGACTACATGGGACAGTCAGGGAAATAACATTTTTTTGTTTTGTTTAGGGTGAACCAGGATTGCCTGGAGAAGAAGGACTGACTGGCCCAAAGGTAGGGTTTGGGTGAACCAAAATCAAAGTTTAACAAAAAAATTCAGTGAATTTAGAGCCCAAACTACCCCGGTAAAATGGGACCCCAATCTCAGCTGGTGTTACCATAATACACACAATATTGTGAGAATTAATTATTATTTGTCCTGCTCTTTGAAATCCTCACCTGAAGGGCAATATATGAATGCAAAGTCTATTGATATGAAAGCAAAGATATTTGTCCTCTTGCTTTGCAAACTCCTGGAGAAGGAATATCCAAAGCTCTTTCTCCTGCAGAGTGCAGGGCTTGCATGTTCATTGGTTGATATTTCTTTGCAAATGGATCTTTGTCTTAACAAAAGCATCTTTCATTTTCCAGGGTAAAAAAGGCCAAGCAGGTGTCAAAGGGGAGAAGGTGAGAGGGGTCCTTAAACTGATAGAAATAAATGATGCTTGGACATAGGAGAGGAGAGAGAGAATAAGCCTGATTTGCTCTTGGTTATACTGGTATAGATTAAAGATAAAGTTGGTGGAGTTACACTGGGCTAAAACCAGTGTGGTTGGCAGCAGAATTGAGCCCAATATCTGAAGGGTCTTAGCCTGTTGAATGTGTATTCAGTTTCCTTTTGAGGAATATTTCCCATGCATATTTGTTGTTTTACAGATCCCCAAGGCACATTTCTTCTGAATTTTCATTTAATTATTAAATCAAGGATCAAAATAAAATTGGACATTTTTATTAGCATTTGCCGTTAGGATAAAAATAAGTTACCAATCCTCATGCTTCAGGACATGGGCTTATCACCAGCTGGGGACAGGAAGATATCTCCCCTGCAGGTGACTTCCTCTGCAGTTTTGAGCACCAGGCTCTGTCAGAGATTGGACACTGAAGTAAGTGGACCATTGGTCTGCTCTGGCAACAATTATGCACCTAATATCCCTATGTATTTTCTGTCGCTTTCAGGGGGAGCCTGGAGAAATGGGGCCGAAGGGACTTCAAGGAATTGCTGTAAGTCAATCAAGTTGCTTGACAAGCTGCTGTCAGAATGAGCCTGCCTGTAACAAATGGAACCATCCCAAACCCTTTCTTGACGAGACCATCGCAGAGCCAGCTCCTTCTAGATGTTGCGGTGCCTTTGGAGCCACTTTCAACAGCTCTTGCAAACATTGTAGTCTCTGTTTGGCATCTCCCGTTGCTAGAGATGCTCAACCTGGCTCTCATTTACATGAATGTCCCTTTATGCCACTCTGGGTAAAGGGGCATTAAAGTGGGCCTTTTACCTGCCAGAATGGTGTGAAAGAAACATGGTATTAATGAGAATCAGGCTCTTCATTAACGTGAGTCTGCAATGGGTGCATTTAGGGTGACCAGATAGCAAGTGTGAAAAATCGGGACTGGGGGTGGGGGGTAATTGGAACTTATATAAGAAAAAGCCCCAAATATTGGGACTGTCCCTATAAAATCGGGACATCTGGTCACCTAGCCGCATTCAGGTTGAAGACTATCCCCATCCCCTTTTATCCTCCTGGAATGGCAATGAAGTGGTGAGATTTGGGTATCTCAGAGTTTGATTTAGGTTTCCTACTGACTGGCAGATCTCTCTCTCGCACCCAAAAGCCCTTAGAGTGGGGGCTGGTATGGGTGCCTTCTGGTCTTGTATTCAAACTTCTGTCAGTTAAAAATTGGGCGGGAAATCTCATGAGAACAGAATTTCTAGTGAGATTTGTATGTACGTGTGGATCTGGTTGGAGGTCCCTGAAGAAGAGCTAGTTCATGGCATGGGGCTGGGCTTGTGTTGAAAAGCCCGGTAGTGGGATATAGAGTTTATCGCTTCTAGGTCGCCCTATTCAAATCGGGCCAGGTTCATGATCAATGTTCCCATCTGATGGCTGAGCGGTAGCCTATGTGCCAGGCGCTGGTGACCTCGTTCCACTCCCTAATGGACGAGTTTTCATGGCATTAAAATCATCATCACATTTAACTCCCTTTTGGGGGCAGTCTTATCAAAGAAGCCAACGGCTAAATGCGCCATGAAGACCCAACTTGACACTGCCGTTGTCCCTGCTGTACAATGTGGTCCCTTTGGGACCCCGGAATTAAACGACTGAAGTATTTTTAACCTGTTGGAAATGTTCCTTTGATGTTTTACAGGGTCTTCCAGGAATGGTGGGGCAGAAAGGAGACCAAGTAAGTAATACGGGAGGCGGCAAGGGTGGGGGGGTCGTTTAGATCGAGGAACCAAGGCAAAGAACAGGAGTCAGGACTCCTGATAATCAGATAACAACCTTAAAATAGTGACTGTGTTTAGCTCCCTTTACAAGTTTCCTCTCTTCTGGAACATCGTGTTCCAAGCAGGGCAGGGGGAATAACTGATTTTTCAGTTCACTGGCAACCCCAAAATTTTTGTTAAATTCATTTTGGGTCAAACTGAATCGGAAAACTGCAAAAAATGTCATCAACTAGGAAAAAAAAATCCATTTTGAGTCGAACAAAAATGTTTTGTTTCTGGCATTTTAAAAGAACTAGATTCACGAAATGAGTCGTGGTGGGGTCTCCTTTAGCCCAGTAGCTAGGGGTGCTTACCTGGGATGTAGGAAACCCTGGTTCAATTCCCCTCTCTGTCTGTTGTGGGGAAGGCACTTGTACTTGGGTCTCCCACCTCTCAGGTGACTGGGCCATGGGCTATTCTGCGGTCGAGCTCTCTCAATCTGTTCCACTTAGTGTAAACAGTAACTGGAGCGGGGACTTGAACTTGGTCTCCCACATCCCAAGTGAATGCCCAAACCCCAGCCAATAGTGTACAACTCTCACTCTTTCCCTGTGCCACTGACCATTCTTAGTCATCACAGTCATTCATAATGACAACGACGGGTCATTGGGCCAATGAAAGACAGACAGCATCATTAGGGCCCTACCAAATTCCCGGCCATGAAAAATGCATCACAGACCATGAAATCTGTATAATATAGGATAAATGTATACAAAAGACCAGATTTCATGGGGGAGACCAGCTCTGAAGGCAGTGCGGAAGTAAGGGTGGCAATACCACAGCCCCCCTACAATAACCTTGTGACCCTCCCATAATCCCCTTTTGAGTCAGGACCCCTACAGTTACAACACCATGAAATTTCAGATTTAAATAGCTGAAATAATGAAATCTACAATTTTTACAATCCTATGACCCTGAAATTGACCAAAATGGACCATGAATTTGGTAGGGCCCTAAGCATCATCCTAATGTTTTACTTCTGTGCCTGAGCTGGGGGCTGGTTTAAGAAATGATGCTTTAGGTTTTTTAAGCATAAAAGCATTTAATTTTCTAACTTTTAACTTTATGTATTTACTCTTTTCTTACAGGGAAGTCAGGGCTTTCCAGGTGCTCCGGCCATGGGGGTAACTATGCGTGGACAGTAGTTCTAGTAACTCCCCTGCACAATAGATACTGCATCACTCAGTGTACAATACAGACATGGCTTGTGCCGCTTAACGCACAGCTTTACAGCGGGCAACACGAAAAGCTAAAGAACTCGGGAAGTCTTACTGAACCGTCTGTTCACACTCACTGTTAAAGTCACATGGATTCACGGGTTGCACTGACTTTTGAAAACCAGGCTCCCTGGTGGTGGAATTCTGAAAGCCAGTTCCACATTATG